AGTACTGACTGTAATACAGACCTTCAATACAGACCTACAGTACTGACTGTAATACAGACCTTCAATACTGACCTTCAGTACTGACTGCAATACAGACCTTCAATACAGACCTACAGTACTGACTGTAATACAGACCTTCAATATAGACCTACAGTACTGACTGTAATACTGACCTTCAATACTGACCTTTAATACTGACCTTTAATACTGACCTTCAGTACTGACCTTCAATACAGACCTTCAATACTGACCTTCAATACTGACCTTCAATACTGACCTTCAATACTGACCTTCAATACTGACCTTCAATACTGACCTTCAATACTGACCTACAATGCTAAGTACAATATAAACCTATATAGCTAAAAGCTATAACTTAAATAATTATAAAGCTTAATATAAATTATAAATTATTTATATAACCTTTAAAATAGGTTTTACCCCGCACTTGACCTGATTTTTTATTTTCGCACTTTGTGGTAGTGGCCCACCCTACACCTGCCAAGGGGAACTCATGAATGCAATATTCAGTTATTATTCATAGAGTTCTGTCGCGGTTTTCAGGAGATGTCACACTGTCTCATATATATATGTAGCGCCATTAACGAGCGATGTATAATAGGGCTATATGTATTCTCCGCCTGAATGTGACATAAGAGGGGTTCATAGAGAACTCCATAATTACTGTCTTCAGTATTGTCGAACCAAATTTGCTTAGACTCGAAGCTTGCGACTTCAATATTACTATTAATATACAATCCAGAATTTAATACAGATTAGTTAATATCGCCATATTCCTGGCACGCTCCAAAACGTATAGCTGCCCTAACCGCCAGCGAGATACGATTTTAACTACAGTCGACTTCTAGTTGGGGACAGAGCCGGGTATTAATATTTCAGTATATGTGATCAGGGTTTTTGAACTTGTCTTTAATCTCTTGTTCCGAGAACCGCTGAGTGTGCGCTTTTAGTAGAAGGACTCGATCAGCTAAACTCATCGCCAGCTGCTCCATGCCAATGGGTACCATGCACTTCGCCAAATGAGCGTAATCTTTCATGAGAAGGCGTAAAGTAATCATGATATAGTCGATATTATGAAACACCTATAAGTATCATCAGCTCTATACGGTTTTGGATGAATTGGCGGCTTTGCGCCTCGTAGGCAATGATATCAAGATGTGTCGACTGTGACTGTACTCCAAGGAAAAGGGGCTTACCAGAGCTCCATTAGCCGCATATTTCCACTTTCCCTTGATGAACGCGTTGGGGTGGTCCCTCCAATGTCTCTGGGGGTTTAGATGATGAGATGTATGGTATCCATCATTGTAAGAGTAACGGTTGCTCTACAATATGTCAGAAAAGTTGTAAAAGTTGGATTGGATGTACGAGGTGAGCAGAGTACATACTGGAACATCGATCAACGTAATACTTGACCTATAATCTGAATCCGGTTCATGAGTATCAACGAACGCGTGTTGACCCCAGTTGCCTATCATGAGGCCAATCCGTAGTAGCAATAGAGGTAAAAGAAACACAAATAACGTCGGCTTCGGTTGCCAGGCATAGAGTGAGGCCAGTGCGGTATAGTTACCGATCTCCCAAAAGGCTGCCTTTGCAGCAAAACCAGGTTTCTGTTTCCGCAGAAAGTAGCACGGAAGGTCGAACCAAATGAGGAAGAAAAACCTGCCGACATAATGAAGGAAGTGAAAAATATTATCACGTTGATAACGAATTGTTGATGAAAGGTCATCAGGTCCGTTGCCTTCCACGTGGTGATGCTTGACATGATGATAGTAATATGAGTTCCACGTGTGTCCCATAAGGGGATCGGTAATATAAGGGAAGAGATGATCGAAGATAGCAAATTGAGTACTGAGTATCCCTCTCATATGAATATGCTGGTGCATCATCAAAGTGTACGTCCCCATGTAGGAGACTTGCATGATGAAATGTAGCACAGCGTGGATCCAGGTGAAACGCCAGAGATACAGAATGAGAGCGCTCGGTACCGATGTTGAGAAGTATAGTAGTAGATGGGTCAACATGACTACGTCACTTTCGTGTCTCACCACATATTGGGCGAGACGAAGATACGGCCGAAGGACATGCCGGCCGATGCTCGTATTCCATTCGATTCGATCATAATCGTGCTCTGTGAAGACGGTGGGTTCGAAGTCGGGATGTTTCGGGTTGTTCAGAGCGTCAAGTTTTGAAATAGCTGAGGCATACTGGGTTTTCTCTAAGATCGTCTCATTTATCAGCAACACTACATAGTCAAACTTGGGCTCACGGATGATTGTTTGCATACCACAGCTGACAATCTGGCCTGCGGTGTTGTTTTCATTATCAGCTTCCGCTCTGTCGCTTTTGGTGCTATTGGAGAACCGTTCGATATCTGACGTGAGTGTTTCCAAAACGATTCGATCAGGTTTTGTGAGTTTCGGGTCAAAAACGATGTATTTTTCCATGCTCACTGAGAGATAACTGCGTTAGGTGTTTATCTTGACACTATATCCCAAAGTAGACGAATAAAATAGGTGAGAGACGAGAAAATTCCACGATGGAAGCACACTTCACTTTTTCTGTGAGCTGTAGGGAAAGCATTTTCGCACCCGAATTTTCTTTCGTGCTAGCTATTATAGGGGATTTATGTTACACAGAATTATCCCACCCAATGTCGCACCCCCTACCAACATTTAGAAGAGCTGGTTAGGTACTCACCAGGGATATTGAAGTTGTATCTATACTTGGTTGGAATCATTTTGGGGTAACTAGCAGGTACTGCGTCTTGGCAAGCATAACTGCCAGGGGGATTGGAGTCGCCTACCTACAAGAGGTGTTGTGACGGAAATCTGCAGTTAATACTACACAACACTGTCGCAGTAGCTGTACAAGATTATCTATCTACAGTGCCTATTCAATAGGAATTGAATTCTCCTTTAAACTACGATACATGGCTTGAGAAGGTTAGTGTAGGTACTGAAGGGCTTACTTGTCCGCTGAGATATGAGTTCGCCAGCAATGAGTGTTGAATAGGGCTGCTTATGAGGGAATGCTGACACCTGCATACTGCGCAGCCCCGTCCCAGGAGCCAATGTTTAACAATGTTTGACTGACCTTTCCCCGAGGATCGAGGCCACCATCATTCTGTCCAGGCCGACCTTTAGGCAGCCTCATGCAGATTGAGAAGTCACGGAAGCCAGTTGTAAGTCACTTAGGTAATCTATCTAGAAGGACTTTTAATCCAGAGACAAGCCCCCAAACCCAATGTGAAGAACTTCTCCAACTATACCCTCTACTACATAAAAGGCCTCCCCTTGAACTCTCCCCTATATTCTCAATTCTTGATTGATGGGATCCCATTTCAGACTTACTACCAAATTTGACCACCATGTCTCGAGCCCCAGTGGCTGGCTTGCATATCCGACCATACCTTCGTTACTTGGCGAGTGATTTGCACCGACGACTCCGCGCTGGGTATACCCTCGGTCAAGCAACAGCACTATGGCTGACCTGGTCCTTCCCTCAGAAGGTGGCCGCCGCTAATACCTACGTTTTCACTCCTGTTCAAACTTTATCCCCGGCACAACAGACATCGGTGAACCAAGAGGGTGGAGATTTTGATTTTATTAATTGGGTTAATAGGGGAATGACTATTCGAGGTGGCAATTCGGTTTACGCATGCTTGGCTAACCTCACTGCCGCACTTGAGCTGGTAGGACAGCTTAACCAAGCGGAATACAATGGTGCCGCTGGTGCTTTGAGCCTGCTTCCAACAGCAGGCGCATTGTTGGGAGCGCCCACTCGAGAGATGTGGATTCTGTATAAGCTGGTACCTATTTCTGGAATTCTCAGCATGTTTCTCAGCCTCGGAGGTTCCATCACCCCTTCAAATGTCGGCGATTACGACCCGAACAAACCCTTCTCGTTTGGTGGTTTCGTGCCTACAATTCCCGTTGAAGCGTCCCGCCGACCCAAGTCGCGTACAACAAGCCATATCAACGAAGGAGAAGCAAACATTTACAAACGCGATGAAGAACTGATGGTGGAGGATGATATCAACAAGTTTGCCCGCGAAATCAAAGAGAGGGCAGAAGACGATGGTGGTGGGGATATATTCTTGCGTGTTTGGTTCGCAATGGGTATTCAGATCACTCTCATCGCCGCTCTCTTGGTTCCAATGTACTATGCCCAGAGAGGTGCGGTCATCACATGGTGGTGCAGAGTAAGTTACGTCAATTCCATCATCAACATAGCTAACATGCTTCTGATATCAGGTATGGGGCTGGATGTGGTTCTGGTACTTCCTCGTGACGGTTGTAGCTATATTCGATAATCTCGTCGCCGCTCCTTTCACAAAAAGCTGGACTGTCCGTATCTCAAGGTCTCCTACAGGGATCATCTTAGACGAGACGGCTCCCAAGATCTACAACAATCCACAGTATCCCAACGCTCTCGCCTTCATTAAGGCTGGCCCAGTTATGAACCAGAGAGTACGGATAGCAGCTAACACAGGAGCCAGCTATCCTCGCACTTGTTTCTACGCTGTCATTTCTGTGAAGAGGATCTCCACGGTTCACGCAATAGCACAAGTTGTTGCCAAGTTATCCAGTGTTGCTGTTTTCGCCTTTGGCACAGCACTATTCGCCTCCGCTACCCTTGTATCTATTTCAATCGCCTTGATGGTTCTATCTGTGATCCTTGCTGCCGGCGTTGGTGGGCGGGTGCTCGCCATGTGGGTTGTCGCAACGATCAGCAGTCAAAATAGGCCGATCATCCACAAGATGGTTAGATCCGAGGAAGAAGCAGCAAGATACTTCCAGGCACTAGCAGAAATTGATGTGCAAATGGAAATCAGCGGACATGTAATTGTCAATGGGACTATAGTCAAGTCCCGGCATGTCTGGTTCTCTCCAGAGACGTATATTGGGTTGCTGGCTAAGCCGTTTGATGTGGTATCCATGGCAGAGAAGAACTCCAGGGGAAGCGCAACGTCAGCCTATCATCCAGTTGCCCAAAACTTCTTGGCTCCAATGATGGATGATGAAATGCAGTACAGCCAGCTATCAGCACCACAACGTAGGCCTGGCCCTTCGTCTGGTCAGGATTGGATTCCATAACAGATTCATTTGGTCTTATTTGAAGTTTACGGTATGGTATAATCAAATTTCATGAAGAGAGTGGTTATTTCAGTTAAGCAAGCAAATACGAGCGTTCTTCTGATAGTATTCCTGTATTTTAGCTATATTGTTGATTTTCATGTCTTGGTCGCTGTGGTTTACTATATGAGGTTGTTCAGTGTCTTGCCTCTTTACATCTATGATTTCTAGGTGCGATACTGTTAGACACGCGAACGGCCAAAAATGCAGTTCGCCTACGGCTATGGGCACAAGCAGCCTCGTTTTGAAAAGAGCAGGTTTAAATCTGGTATCGCTTTTCGCTAAACCTGTAGGTATCGATCTGCTACCAATAATATGTTGGTCATATGCTAGCGTGGTTCCTGCACTATATACAGCCAAATTAGTATGGCCATACCATCCAAACTAGGTTGGCTTATAGGTATATAAACGCCATAATACTGCCATGACATCTGATAGATGTAATTCTTTCATGATAGTTGCGAGAGAAAAAGCGTGTGGAATTATTAATGGTAAAAGTGTCAAAGTTAAAAGTAGTAGGTAAAATAGGGTTGGAGGTATTATGGTGTTGGTAGGGAACAGTACATAAACTGTAATATAAGCAGATAGCTTGCATCTGCAATAGCCTTATGGCTGCAGATTTAAATCCTGCTTAAAAACTGAAAAGTGAGATCACACAGAGTTCGCTGGCATTAGACACACTGAGTATTGAGCTTGGGAGTTCGGCAGCGACCGTATAATATATGATCAAAGCTAGTCTCCAAGGCGAAGAAGGAATTCGGTGGCCAAACAGATTGTTAGAACAGCGACCATGTCGGTGTTGTTTGACAGTTGTTATTGGACAGAGGTTTTGATACCTTTATTGATTAGGCTAGGACTACATATAGCTGGTCTCTTCGTTTATAGCCCTAGGATTGTGACATAGATATTTCGACCCGCCTCACCTTTGAAGTTTGGATTCAAGTGAGCATTCTATGAACATCTGGGCATGAAACAGCTTACAGTGGCCGATCTACAGGCTACACTAGGGCTATTGGTTATGTGGCTTATATTAGGAGGACGTGAACCTGTTCAGAAGGTAGGCTGGATGGTAGGTCCTCTGCCCCCTGTAGAACAAATCATTCACACCCAAGTCTTTCTATAATTTATTTACTATTGGTAGACATTGCATTGCTGATGCAAGCTTTAATTGGCTGGCTTCAACGAATGAGGCATACCGTACAATTTTTACAACGCCACACTTCGAGGCACATGCAAGACAGATTCTACACTGCTCAACCCTTGTGACATGCTGTATCGCGTTCTGTCGTTTTACTTAACGCTTACAACTATTCAGATGCGTGGTGTAATTCCTGGGCAGTTTATAAATAGTTTTCGAAGCCTTGCGGTTACCAAGACCCGTGGTGTCTCTCGTTTGTTAAAAGGCCTACTATGCACCTGGCAAGGCTGGCCCCGGATCTAAATACAGGTCTCCCGGCATCCTAGATTTCGAAATTCGCCAATAAGTCTCATGCCGAATAGCCCCACTTAACAAGCCTGCCGCATGAGAAATAACGTAGCAGGGCACGTACTGTACGGTAGTAGGGGTGAGATGAAGCTGATGCCTAGGTATTACGCGCTATTTCTTTCAATGGCCTTGACAATCAAGCTTATGGCTCTATCCAACTGAGGCTGCTGGGTCTCCTGCATCATAGCCGCCGCATTAAAGACCCTTGTTCGGTTCGGAAGACATCTCACCCTCCTTTGACTGGGATATGTGATTTGCCCAAACAAATTGTGTCTACACAAGAACTGGCCAGGGTCTTCTCAGCCCTGGCTCAACCCTCCAGCGTACTACCTAAACAGCCTGCAGAATCCAGAAGGTATAATTGTACTTCTACATTGAATCCACCCCGCATGAAGTACTGTAACAACTCAGTGCGGTATTGGTGTTGTTACTGTAAGTACCTAGGTAGAAAAAGCAAGCTTAGATTTTTGGTATGAGGGGTAGATACACAAGGTTAGGTGCCTATCTCATGTAAGCGAGGGTGATGAGCCTCACTTGACTACCTACATAGCGATCGTTCCTGATTGGTCAAGTAAAGCTGTACGTATTAAACACAGTCATGTCTGCCGCCCTAGAGGAATTACATCTACCAAGGCGATAGCAGACAAATTTGAGGTTACGTATGTGCAGATTTCTAGGTTGCCGATCTAATGCCATTCAAGACTTTGGCATACTGGTGTTTTTCTTTTCCGTAACGATTTATCTTATCATCGAAATTTAGCCCTTGAAAAATGCTTTACCTTGCGGTGTGAAGTCTCTTGTATAACAAGGGCAGCTAACTGGGATTGGAATAACATCTATTCACAATACAATAGTTTGCTAGGTCTGCAAAGGTACTTGTTGGTCATCCAATTGCTTATTGGCCTTGGTGGCTCATCTTTGACCCTATATATAGTTGGACTGGCTGTCTTGGCCACCTAGGTTTAATTGGCCTGTTTCATAAAACGAAGTCTATATAATTTCACTTTTGATATTGCTTATATATCTCTTGAAGATCATGAAGGAGATCGCAGACACCCGTAACCGAAGACGAACTACATGCTCGGCCTTATGCACGTATAACACTTAGTGTGTGATATGGAGGAAAAGACTGCAGAATCTAACATGCACTTTCCCATTTGGGCTCAGGTCATTATAGCAACCAGAAAACTAGGACCCAGGAGGGAACTATATTTTACAGTATCTATCTACTGGATTCGTGCCGACTTGGTTTCTCAAGTTATTTGTACTGTTCCTGTCGACCCAGCTGTTTGAATGTGTAACGAATCCGGGCACATATGACTTCAGAGCTAGAGATTCGTCAATCCTAAGAGAGGATCGGCCTTTTAAGCCATAACATCAAGTTGTCCTGAATAACGGGCTCTTAGCACATCGACTAGATATAGTTCACGTAGCTCCAAATGAGGGATTTCCAGTGACGCGCAGAAGCGTTAGTGTATCTACCATAGAAAAAACAACGCCGCTATTCCCGGGACGAATAACGGCCTTTATATGGCAGGAACCTACCACTTCGTGACAATATCAGTCACATGCTTCCGGTAAGTCAATCCACAAGAATATTACAAGATGATGAAAGATCAACCAGTATACCAAGTTTGATATTTCCGAATAGCTCTGAGCCTGTCACGCTATACTATTCATCAAAATGTGAGAAAATATGGTCATACTTGAACGAGATAGATCAGACGGTATCCCCTTAATTTCTGTTAATATCGTAATACCATAGTTGAGTATAGAGACGCAGGATCTCGGCCTGATAGCGTTATTTACCATTTGGTAGCATAACGGTTATAGTATTATACTCCTATATTCCTGTTCCGTGACAGTTAATTTAGCGGAGGAAACCCGAAATTAGGACGATTTGAGACAGGTCAAGCATATACAGGGGCTTCGCCGCTCCTGTATGTAAGTGTGGTCGTAATCGAGTATCTAGTAGTACATATATCTCGTCCATCAGAGTCTTTAGGCAATGGTATTAGTTTGTCCAGAGTACTACAAACCAGTCGTATCGTATCAGATCAACAGTAAATTCTACAAGAGATGTATCCTTTAAGTAGGGTGAAATTAATTTTATGACTGAAGAGATTGCTAAGTGCTCTTAGCGGGGTTTTTGGCTAAGATACATATCCTCTCGAACGTTCAAAAACGACGCTGTTAGACGTTCGAGGTCTAACGGTTCTTATATAGCCCTACCTACGTCTAACATATCCTGATATACATTCTCTGGATACGCTCATTGCTAGAGTCGCCTGGATGAGGTGGACTATTGCAGTCCGAAACAGCCTTTGGAGTATGTTGGTTCTTCTTCTTCAGCTTCCCCCTTCGGTGGTATTGTCTCAGCGAGTGAATTCATGTATCGATTCAATAATTGAAAGACATGGCCCGAATAAACTTTTTCTTATTCCTACTTCTACTCTTCCAATACGTGAGGCTCGGTTCACGTCACATTGCGTCCTGTTGATTACTAGCTGATTTCTTTATTTAAATCTATTGTTTCATTGCCATTTTGGATGTCATGAAGTCGAGTAACAATACCTGAACAAATTCATTGACTGAGGGGCGGTGCTCGAGGATTGATGGGTTTAAGAACGACTAAGATAGTTATGTCGCGGATAGAGTTTCTACAACATCGCACATTTTCTTGATAAACACCTACTATGTGTTCCACAACCGGGGAATAAGAAAACATTATAGGGATGAATAAAAAGACGACATCCGGGTATCTAATGAGTATTTGGAAAGATACTGTTAAGGGATAACAGCAACCAAGACATTTACCCCTGAAAATGGGTTCCAGATCTGGCTTCAATAATTCTGTAGTGAAATAGTACCGCCACATGCAGCATTACCTACCGAACTACGTGTGGCGCCAGTGTGATACATGTCCGCCAACGATAAAAGGGGGAAGAGAGGGGAGAGATGCAGTGTAAGACAGACTCAGGTGAGTGCGACATGCCGAGAAGGTATAAAAAGAAATACCAACCACCACGCGTGATAAACGCCAGTACGTGGTTGAGACATGAATTACCGTGTATCCTTCTTTTTGGCCGGTATCTTCAGCTTAGCGAGGGATGTAGAAGTCGTGGCACGATTGACTAGAGTGCACGGAAAGCGAAGGGTCACAATTGTGCTTCAGACGGCACTCGCATTGGAAAAGTATAAAATTATTGTTTTACCTCAGTCAAGGAACACCAAACTCCCTGACTTCGATGACAGATCTTAACTCCTCAGAAATCTTCTCAAATTTATTCTTCAGTATACACCTACCTACCTACACCACTTCGTCGCCATGATGTTCACCCTACGGATGATGATAGCAGGTTGTCTGCTAGCCCTCAGGTTCGTGTTTTATCCAACTCATATGTCATAAGTACCTGTGCGAAATTCAAGATAAATATATATAAAGGAATGCGAAGAAATATTCCTCAAAATAAGAACTTAAGATGTCAATCTAATTACTATGTCCTTAGTGCTGCGGCCGTGACGGAGACACAACCATCTAACAAGCGAAAGTATCCCCATTTGCTAACACCGCAAATCTCGCATCCACCACTGCATCCTTCAGCATCATCGTCGGAATCATCGCTGCCATCTCATACGCTGCCAGAATCCTGCTACACAACTCTTACGGACCTACGACACCTCCGGACTACGACAGTTACGCACAGGTGCTATACGCGAACGAGCAAATTCCCAGAGGGTGAATGAGCCTTTTCTCTCTCTCTCGCCTCGATTCCCGTCTTCTTGTTCCCGTAAATCTGTTTAAATGAACGCGAAGTCGATCATGCAGCTATTTATACGTGACTAGTAACTGACGAATATCAGGACCTTGCCCAACGCTCTCCTGTCCTCCTCCCTCTTCGGATCTGGTCTGCCTTGACTACATCAAAGTATCAAGCTTGACAGTTCCATGCGCAACAGACGTGAGTAGAAATAACTCTTTTCTTCCTGCACCTTTTCCTCTTCCCTCCTCTGTTTGTCTCTCCAGTGGCCAATGGCCAATGGCGATAGGCCGCGTCCTTGTGCGAGCCAAGCTGCGGTAGGCAAGAAGACTGCAGGTCAATAGTCACGCGATGAGGCCGATTTTCGAAAGCGAGCGAATCACTGACTTCAATATATCATTCTCGCTATCGTAGTGCTGCCCAACGACAAGCACTACATACAAGCCATATGAGTCGGTGCCGTGTCCTACGTGCGACCCATGCCGTATCCCGACTGAATGGATCACGTACACGACGGGATGTCCCGGCACGTCTACGATTACGGAGATAAACGTCATTACGCCGCCGCCGTATCACAATTGAGGTTGAGACAATGATCAGTGGCAGATGGTGGGGGTTGAACCGGTTCATTGTTAGTAACGCGTCACATTAGAAGCAATTAAGCCCGCAATGGGGAGGTTGATGAGAGAGACAAAAGTCTCAATGGCCGTGTATACAGCTCTATTCAGTTCTATATGGGCCCAAGTGCTTGCACATGTGGTCTTTCCTGTCTTGACTCCTATAATCTGTTCTTTATCGCACAGTAGCTCCCTTAAGCGTCTTGACAGTGCATGTACCGCCGTTCGCCGTTGTCAACTTGCCGGTCTCGGCCTTGCCAGCAGCCTCAACTAGACTTCCGTCAAAGGCAACCTCAAGGTTATCAGTCGTCGTGAAGCCCGGCTGGAACGTCTCCCAGATCTTCTTCTTGGGGTTGAGGACGCCCTCGGGCTCGCCCCGCCAGCCGTCAAAGCATACGCGGTCACCGGCCTTGGAGTCGGTAGGCGGCGTGACCAGCTCGACGGGGCCCTTGTGGTCATCTACTTCGCCCTCCTTCAGTTTTGGTGATGCGGCGAGTACCATGGCGCATGACTTGATACCACGCATCTTGACGGGCTTCAGGTTTGCGACGACCACGACCTTGCGTCCCTGCATCTCCTCAAGAGGCACCAATCCGTTCAGACCGGAGCACACCGTCCGGCAGACTTGTCCCTCGTATTCCTCGGTATCGTCTGTGCCAGGCTTATCTCCCATAGCAATTGTCGATACATATAGACTGTCGGCTTCGGGGTGCTTGATGGCCTTGAGAATGTGTCCGACTCTGAGGTCGATCAAATGAGGCGCCGGAGGTGAGGCAGCAGCAGGTGCCTTTTGGGGTTTGGGGGCTTTCTCCTTCTTCTCCTTCTTGGGCTTTGCCTCACCGACTCCAGCAGCCGCGGCTACAGCATCTTTAGCCTCTACAGCCTTATCCACTACAGCCTGAGCAGCAGCCTTTGTACGGTCGACCAGCGTAGCCTCGCCACCAGCAGCGGCGGCGGCGGCGGCAGCCTTCTCTTTCTTCAGACGCTCCTTCTCGGCCTTGGCATCCGTGGGTGGCTTGACGTAGAGGACCTCCTCAGGATCCACCTTGATCTTATCGGCGTCGCTGACCTTGAGGTCGAAAACACCCGAGTTCTGCACGAAGTCGAGGTGTCGGACGATGTGAGGATGGCCTTGCTGTCCGGTGCGCTGCTCAGGTGACCACGACTTGACAGTGGGCGCTAGAGATTCGTAGATGGCGATGTCGGCCTTGGAGGGCTTGACACCCAAAAGCGTGGTGCGGGAAGTGAGATGCGTGTTGAGCTTATCGAGGATGGAAGTATCGGTAGGGGAGCTCCTGAGACGCTCGGACGTGGTGATCCATTGTTGCACCTCGGTCTCCTCGGTGGAGGAGAGCTTTTGAGCGTCGATAGCGGCCATGGCAAAGTTTCTTATATTGGTGACACCTCTTGAAAGAGGGCGAATGGTTCGGAATAGAGACAGTTTGACGGTTGGGATGGTGATTCGAGGAGATGGAAGACAACAAATGGGAAACTCGGGCAACGTGAAGGAGGGGTCCCGTCGAATTGAATTTTGAAAAGTGACCTATTTCCTAACTGCCCCTCCATTGACTGGTTCACTTTATTTGGCGGGGTCTTCTCTACCGGGTAGCACCTCCCAAGCTTTGGTATCCACTCCTGTAGCCTGCACCGCCACTAGACGCCTTAGCCACAATATGCAAGTACTTAGGTAACATGTATGTGGCTGGAGCCGGTGGTCCCTGCTATCCAATCCTAACCTCCCGTGTCGAGAGCTTGCTTGATGAAGCTCCTCAGAAAAGCGTAGCCTAATAATTATCCATCGCGCGCAATCCCACGACACCGATCGATCCCGACCCAGCCCGCATCGAGCCGACGTGACGTGCTCTTCACACTACCCCTACGCTTCCATTGCCGTCGCGACACGCGAATAATTCTATCAAAATGGGCGGTTACGGATACAACTCGTATGGCGTGGGAGGCCTTACGTCCTTCCTGACGGTTGTCGGCTTATGTATGTGCATCACCGTATAGCAAATATTGTCGTGGCAAATAACAGTGTTCCTTAGCTGACCATATTTTCTCTAGATATGTTATTTACCGGCAGTGGTGAATCCTTCAATGTGCGCATGCCGACCTCTAACTAATCCATTCTCAATACATCATCCTGACAAGCATCTCTAGGTCGGAGCTTTCCTCGAATCAGTATCGCCGTATGCGTGGGCTAGCACAGGAATCGCTTTGTGTATAGGTCTATCTGTCGTCGGTGCAGCATGGTACGGCCCCTCGAAATCAGTCCTACATCAATGTCTACTCCTCACTCCTGTCGCTATCAACGTCATCCACTCGGTCTAACCACATGTCCTCTCAGGGGTATCTTCATTACGGGCTCATCGATTCTCGGTGCTGGTGTCAAAGCCCCGCGGATCCGAACAAAGAATTTGATCTCCATCATCTTCTGCGAGGTCGTCGCCATCTACGGCGTCATTATGGCCATTGTCTTCTCCTCCAAGGTCGGATACACGAGCGGTGATAACCTTTACGACGGCAACAGCTACTACACGGGTTTCGCCCTCTTTTGGGCCGGTCTGACTGTCGGAGGATGCAACCTTGTTTGTGGTATTGCCGTCGGTATCAACGGTAGCGGCGCTGCTTTAGCCGATGCGGCCGATGCTTCACTGTATGTCTCTTTCGACGTCTGCGCATCACATGCTCGTTGTATAGCTAATCGTTCTTTTAGTTTCGTCAAAATCCTCGTTATCGAAATCTTCAGCTCCGTCCTCGGCCTCTTCGGTCTCATCATTGGCCTGCTAGTCCAAGGCAAGGCGCTGGAATTCGGAACCGTACAATAGAACAACATCTTCTCCACATTGAAATTATGGCAGTCTCGACCTGCTCCCATCCGCTCTGGTCTGTGTAAGGTAGATATCGCGCTGTTCGAATTACAAGGGAGAGGGGAGTAATGCATTATCAATCCCGCTTAATATTGCTCGGGGTTGGATCGGCGTTTGGAAGAACGGGCTTTCACATCCACGTCATTGGAAGGTCCAAAGTGCATGATGCGTCTAATTTATGTTAAACTACATATTGTATTATACGACTAGTTCAGCTTCAGGGAAAGCTGTTCGTGTAGTTTGGTTCTCCAGAATAAATAAAAGAATTAGTCACAATACATCTGATGAGATAGATAAAGTATAGGTGGTTATGTTTAACCTCTCTTTGAGGCTACCCAACACAATGAGGTATCATAAAAGGGCATATGGCTTTATATTTGCAATCACGAACATTCGAAGATTTATGAAGTATACCCTACGCTCAGCTCCGGTACATGGTCCCGCTGATAGAAATCATTAGGTGTTCACCGCTCACTGATGCCGTCACAAAATTTTGTTTATTGAGTACCGCTTCGAACTCAAACACGAAACTCATATCGTGAAGGCCGGCGCCGAATCTCGAAAACCATCAGTGATCATTGTGTGTCAGTGCAAACCTCTTATAAGAATTCTTTTCTGTCTACATACCAGTATACACATCAGCTCTCTCTCGAAACGCAGTTTGTAGATTATACACATTCCTCGCTTACCCCTATTTTAACCTTCTACAAGTAAAGATGACTTGCTATACATTCAATTAGCTAGACATCTATTGAGAGCCCCTGAGTTCCAAACTCCTCGATTATGAGTCTTTCCTTTACCTCCTGCCACGAGCATGGGCTACAGGCAAAGAGACTCGCTATATTGCCCCAGTCTAGCCACGAAGGTTTTGAAGCATTCGTGCAACAACGAATGTCATACGGTACTCTCATGGTTGCCCTGATCACACACTATGATGTCCCATTCAGAATCCATCTGTATTCCATCATTGCGAACACTCTCTTGAAAAACCGAAGCCTAACCAGACATTGCATCGACTACTCCATCTCTCATACCACCCCGCCATGTCAATCATGAAAGAAGAGCAGATGGCTCTTATATAGACGCAGCGCCTCTACTTTCCCTCTCGGGAGTTCTTACGCATTCATTCATTCGTTTTCAGTATGTAAGCAGAAAGCCGTGGAATAGGATATTATCATCTCATCATTGCGCCATGTCAGCTCGCTGAGTGTGGGCTTGAGGTGAGCTGATAGCCTACACCCTTTTCCTCCTGCGCTATGTTCGTCAAAGGAGCGTTGGAAACGGAGAAAAGGCTAAAGGCCGTTCTTTACTGCGCTGGACTGATTCATGTATTACATCTTCGCATACTTTTACCTTGTTGTTCAGCTTGAGATAGATAGTCAGGCTGTTCATGCCCAGTGTATCCGTGGTACATCCGTGCTCACGGGAAAGATAGTAGGATGTATAAAGCTGGCGGAACTACGTATCTAACCCATTCATTCACGCTTGCTACTCACTCTATTCCGCTCTCCCTCTCATACACTCTGTTCATACGCTTTTCTTCGGCGTTAGGGGATATAACTTTCCCCTATTCTGTTCTACACCGCTGTCGGGAGAGGCCCCGTGTATCCATCGATCCACGCCGCCACCTCCGCTCATGCGTCTCTTACCTCTCTCCTGCCCGTCATCAATGCCTCTTTCCGTGGGAATAGGGAGCTTGGTTACATAGACAACAGTATATGAATAAGTCTATCTTTTATTCCTGCTCGATTATACTCTGCTGCTACAAGAGATGACCTTACCCATCTAGTCTATGATAGACATATCCTAAGAACAACTAGAGACATACCACTGAATTCCTTTGTCTGAATTCCTGCTCTCTTTCCTTCACTGACCCGCAGGGACCGGGAATCTCGGCTATAATTGAGCAAGTATGTAAGCCGTGCAGGAAAAGAGGCATATTTCCAGATATTTCTCGCCACCGGAGTCTTCCCGTCCACCTATCCGGCTGTAGACGATGTGGGGGAGAGGGGGGGGGGGGAGGAAAAACGAAAGAGAAAGAGAAAGAGGGCAAAAGAAGCGAGCAGGGTAAGCGTACGCAGGCAGATCGACTGACGTGTCGAAGGGAACTCAATGGGATGGGGGGAGTGTATTGCGTCAGGGGAGGGGTGTATGTCGGCTGTGTAGTAAATGAAGTGTAGACGGTGCCAGTAGCGCAAGTCTAAATCACTGAGAACGAAGCAAGTATTCGCAGGAAAACTCGGGAGCTCTTCGTACTCTCGTTGAGCCGTGTTTTCGTGTACTATCTACTTCCGATAGCTACGATTTACTTACCTCCGTCGGTTAGTTAGAGAGCTGAAAATAGAGAAGGGCGGGAGAGAGGAATACAAAGCAAAGAGCACGAGACAACCCCGTTGTGGTATGTTTGCTTTTTCTCCTGTCTATATCAAGGCCATCTGCATAACTCGTCTCGCATTCTAGCTCCACAGGTGCAGCAGAAGGCATCCTAGGTACTAGATAGTGTCTGTAGAGTCCATTAGATTTCATACCGCCTCCTCGTTATCCTTTAGACTATGATAACTGTACCCCTGAGTAACGTAGCATGGAGCTTGGGAAGTAATTCCACTTGGTCAGCTGTATCAAGACTCTGCGAGTGGCGAACATGTATCACACGTTGTTAGGGGGGAACGCTCACGCATGAGACTTATGCATGGGTGATATTCCCGCATATAGGACCTGAGAATGACCGAATCCTTGCCGCAGCTTAACCTCATTATGAGCCTTGACTCACGAGATAACGCATCTGCGAGATGAGCAGGGAGTTCTCACCGCTTCCTCCATATCCTGCCTCGATATATTGAGGATTCACTGCATAATGGACGAGCTCGGCGGTGTCTTTGGGCTTAAGATTGCGATCTCGAGACTTGGAGTCAGGGAGACCAATATGCAGACTTACCCCCTACTCTGCATATGAACGCCAACAAATGAGAGCGAGTCATACAGCGTTTCGGGGTGGCGAGCCCTTATCTTCTAGGTTATGTTACAGTCGGAAGGGGTTTGTCTCCAATATCATGTTCGGTCAACTGCCCATGGGAATGGACCATATTGCACCACGTAGTGTACCATGTTGAATCCTGCTCAGGCCCTGTAGCGAACGATTCATGCCACATGTCATGAAACGAGTGATCCTATACCAATTACATCAGTCCTGTTCCAGGGGAAGCTTGACAAGGACAAGGACAAGGACATAGCTATTTAATTTGGTAGTTTATAGGTTTGCTGGGAATAGACAGGCCATATGAAGATGTTATTGGCAGGCGGATGGCCCGCCTTCTCGATTGTGAGAAGGGAGGACCAGATAACGTTATAGCATGGGTGTGTTGACAGATGGTCGCTGCCTGTTGTGGCGAGGATATCGTCTTGTCCCTGTATGTCATCAGGATCGATGAAGCCCAACTCGGATCATGTGGAAGGTCTGAAAACCTCTGTTGCCTACTCGTGCCGTGAGACGCCTAGCTCAACTAGCTCTCAGTAGGAATATGGCGGTATGGGTAAGATGTCCTGGCCCATATCTCCAATCCAACGTGGACAGTTCGAACCAGAGCTGTGATGAGATTGGGGGAGAACGAGCGATTAGATTTGCCACCATGGTCAACTGAATTCCATGTTGGACCTGGCACTAATGTCAGAGACATAGCAATCGAGGTCCACCGGTGTACAGGCTGTGTTGAATGAAGCCTTATATTGCCCCCTATATCAACAGTTCAATTACTTTGCAGTATATATTCCAGGGGCGAAAAAGGCATCCGACCATCCGAAAACAGCTGCAAGGTCCTTTATTTACTCAAACTCCGCCCTCGTCGATGGAACTTTGTTCGGCTCTCTTAGAATCAGCCTTCAAGCCCTTACCCAGCACGCGCATGTATTGGACGGGGTTGTGCTGTGCCCTATTTACGTTAAGTATCTAAGCAGGATCCACAACGAACTGCTTGTCCAAGGGATCTCCAGTGATCTGCTATTGGCCCAGTTCATGCTGTCAGCATCTCATTCGCGTATTAGGGGAATAATCGTACATACATTTATTTAGGCTTACCGCATTACGCTTGACTGTTGGCCTAGGGCTGCTTGGCTGCTTCCGCTGAGGCCGACAAGGCTTATATGAAGAGAGTAGATTAGCAGACAATAAATACAAATGCGATGAGAAGTTCAGTAAATCAATGCGACACGCGCAAAGAAAACATGTTGCGATGCCCCAATTACATTCGCGAGGATGTATGGGATTGAGTCATAACGGTAATTGTGTAACCTTAGATTGTTTTGAAGTCAGCCAGATACACTCGTTTCCGCCAGTTTCGGGTTGCGAGGTTTGCGCGATTCATCGCTTCCTCCGGCCGAGGTTGCATAAGCCGAGCACAATCTAAGAGAGAAAAATATCAAATGCGAAACTTCATGCAGTCTCCCCGCCGGCGAGTGAATCCTTCCGAATTGACTTTGCCGGTTTGACCCATAAAGTCTTATCGGCTTTTGATCGTCCGAGCACGTAGAAAAGTCCGCAGCGTCGCAACGTCGCGACGCGGTGACCATTCAACCCGAATGCCACCATCCAGGGCTTCTAGAATGTGATAACGGCGCACCGGACCAAATAAAATGATGTTCCACTCGTATCTTCGTGGGGCCACCGAGTAGAGCGCACCAATGGATTCCATAGTTAGTGCATGCAAGCAAATGCATCCTGATGCTGTGGTATTCGCATTGCCCGCTACCCGTACTCACCGAACAAGGCGAATGCGACTTACTAGGCTATTTCTTACGTAGCTGATTGCAGCTGAAATGCACAATTGGTTACTCAGCTCCTACCATGACGTCGATGCTCATACCTAGGTATCGCATCAGCTGGATAACTAAGCCTGATGCTTAGAATCCCACGACAAGTCCATATTCGCTATCGCTTCCTGGTGCTTTTTGATTCTTTTCTTCTTTGGTTTTCCTGTCGCGTAATGCACATGTCCAGCATGTTTCCTATAAGGTATTCGTTGGTACAAACAGGATTAGTTTTCGAACCTTTTCCACGATTTCAGCCCCTATCCGAGAAAATTAAATTTTCAATGATTCTGACTTCGCTATCGAAACTTGAGTTTTCGACGGCCCATTGGCGTAGCCTATCTAGGATGACGTTCTGGATTGGCTGCATTGCCGGCACAAGGTGGCTTAGGCGTGCTGAGTTATCCGCCAACCAAAGAACTATAAGCGTGGCCATACAATTCTGGGCGAATGTCCACAAATATGGTGACCTCTTATCAATCATACATATAACATTTTCAAGGTAATTTACGCACGAATCAATACAGATTTCGCACTTTTCCAAAGCTATGGGCACTGGAAGATTGAAAGGATCCGACTCTGGTAAAGGAGATAACGGTGATGATCGACTGTCTTGCTGCCTGGCAACGGCTTGTAACAGGAACGGGCGGTGGATCAAATGCCTTGCCATGTAATATCGTATTCGCAGGACTCGCGAACGGTCGTTTGGCAGCGGATCTGTACCTTTGGTGAACCTCAGGTATTCAGGAATCGAGCGGTACCATTGCTCGAGCTGCCGATTGAGTTCGGCACTAAGCGACACGAGTTTTGGAAGCCCCATTCTCTGCCAAATGCGAACGGGGTCTGGGGGTATAAGTGAGTACCGATGGGTACTATCTGGATTGTAAAGGGCGCTTAGGATGCGATTGAGAAGTCGCCTAATTGCGTGTTCGGCGATCGCGTAAATGTGGTTTCTGTCGTCGCTCGACTCCAAACTCTGGGGTAGAGGCATCATGTCTCCTAATGGTTCGATCCCACTACGAGATGCATCGATCTCAGCGACTCCATCGCTTGTAAGATAATCATTAGCGATTGAATAAATGCACACGAACTGAGGCAAGTATTTACCATTCAACCATAAAGCATTGCCAATACACCCGCACTTCCTCGTCATCAAATTCCACATGTGTAAGATTATTTCGTCTGCTGCAATTCGTATTAACGTCAATTTCTCACTCTGACATATGCATATTGAGAAACCGAGCATACCTCTCTGAAATATTTAGAAACAGCTGTGATGCGAAGTGGCCCATCCTTAAACTATGTACTTTGTACACCAAAGTAATCAGCTTAATTGAACACAGGACTTTCAAGAGTATCAGAAGCTCCCGGAAAGAAGATGAGCCCGAGCCTAACTTACACGGTCGTCCCAAATGGGCAAAGTACGAAGATGCTAGCAATAATGCCTGGCACATCGAGATGCTTGAGCGAAACTCCCAGAGCACATCGCGAACTATCATCTTAAGCGCTGGTTGAAAGTATTCGAGCCCAAGCGTCTCGGGAGCTTTCTGGTGGCCACCCTGCGTCGACGACATAGCGCCGAGAGCGTAGACACAAAGACATATGGACGTCGTAATACCATCGAGATCGTGATCTAACAGTCTCGTCTGCCAAGATCTAAATGTTCGTGGTGTGAAAAGTGGCTGGTGGGGATGAACATGTTGGAAATAGCTTGCAGCTAAAATATCCACTACAAGGGTTATGTAAGTATTAGTTTACATGTAGTAATTACCTGTTTAGGTAGCTTATGTAATGGCTTGGGTTGGGATTTGGGAATAGTTTGCGGGACGGTGGACACGGAGACGGATTGCCAAGTAGCATTGGCCAAACATTGCAGGGACGGGATGACTGATGTGATTACTCACTAGTTCCAGGATCAAGTAACGGCCATGTTAACGGTCCATCGTGGATTCGGTCGAGGATCCCTGGCAAAGGCAATTGCTCTTCGACTTGGAAGAAATAGTCTCGCGGGTATTCGCCAATGATGTCCCGAACTTGTGGAAGGGCTAGGAGCGTCGTGGCCAAAGCCCCATGGTTTTTGGGGATAAGAAACGAAGATGATTCCAATGATGTATCGGGATCGCCAGGTAATCGGATAAAAAAATCACTCTGTCTTTCTGATAGATGATCCGACTGACTCGTAGGATGCGGGCTGGGGTTTGGGCTTTGGCTTGGCCGTATATTCAGCTGGTATATCTGTTGACTCTGCTGCTCTAGGATAGCTTCGATCCGACTAAGTCTGTCTATGACAGCAGCCGGGCCACTCTCTTCAATTCTATGAAGCGATGGTTAGTTCTCAGACACAGACTCCTTTCTTCTTATAGAAACGCTACGAACTCGGACGCACCTGTCAGAGGGGAGCTCTTGGTAGACACAGTCCGCGTTAGAATCTCTACACGTAAAGCAAGGCTTTTTCCCATCACATTTCCGTTTACGGTGTCTTCAATGTAGCAAGGATGTTAGCTTTCACTTGTCTATCATATGGATTAAAGCGAGTGAATGAAGAGTATGACTAACCGACAAAAGTCGCAAGCAAGAAGAGCACCTATTGCCCCCGTTAGCAAGTGCTGACGAGGGTAACCCTCACAGGGCAGACACCATACGCTTCCTTGTATAATTCATGTTATCACAGCAGGTGGATAAGTCGTGTGTTAATGTAGGTGAGCGGCTAGAGAAGGGCGAAGGCGGCAGGGGTATTGTTTGCTTTTCAGGCAGGGTCAAATAACACGGGACTTGATTAGAACGGGTGTTGGTCTATGTTTTATATGAGTTGCTAGTCGATCTACAACACGCTTTCTGAGGCAGTCCAGCGACGGTACGATCTCTTGAACCTCTTCGTCTGGGACACAAGTACCTTATACGATACCACAGCTGTGGGTCACATCTTGTCAAAGAGCGGTCGTCGAATAAGATCGACGATGTAACCTGGGATCAACTCGGGGGTGCTTATAGTGTGGCCATTGATGAAGGGCCCGTACCGAGGCGTCGCTAAGATGCTGGGTTTGCATGACCCCTGCAACTGCTATCAAGCCAGTATGGCGAGCTAGACTTCCTTTATTTTCTTCATTTTTCTTTCTCCATGTTGTGGAGAGCTGGGGGGCTGGTGTTTTGGCCGCGACCTAGCTCGAGAATAGAGCATTTTCAACGTTCGATGAATTATTAGTCAATGTTAATAAGTCGACTCACGTCCCCAAGACTTGTCGTGACGTAGGGTTGTGCGTGAAGAGCACGGATTAGTCGAGATGATTAAGCCGCTGGATAGGCAAGTAAGTAGCTAGCTAGCTGGATAGGGCTGATTTGGGTGGGAGCAATGACATAGTAGTAGGTAGGTATGGAGGCAGGATAAGTTGTGACGGGCATCGTAGTCCAGATCCAGTCCGGGTCACGGCGATGCGGGTACTTTGATGCAGCCGGTCCCCAACCTAGCATCCACCTAGCATCCCCTGCCTTACTGAGTACCATCCCTTGAGATAGCGCGGCGGGCAGCGGGCGATCCCCCTCCCCTCCCAACTGTCAGTGGCCCCAGTAACGTGCTAGCTAAGAAGTACCTGACCTACCGAGCCCTACCTTACTTACCTAGGTAGGAATAAGATAGTGGGTACCGACTTTAGCTACTTTAGGTACTTACTTACCTATAGGTAGGTAGCTTACAGAGAGCTGGAAGGATCTGTACTCTGTCTGTTGTCATGCTCTCTAAGCGCCCCATCATTCTTTCCACACCTGTCTAGTGTTGCTTATGTACACGGCTAATTATGGATTTCCCAGTGCCGTTAGTGTGTTGATTGTTGATTAGAGTTGCAGTTTGTACCTGCAGATACCTCCTAGATGCCTACAGATGGCACAAGATACACACGAGCACTATGATGGGATGACTAGGTAGACACTTACACAGTACTAACATGAGGTATCAATTAAGATTACGGCGCATTGTAGTTCAGAAACTAAGTTCATTCTTCAATATATGCTATAGACGCCACCTTGTTTAGTATGTTGATGCCTACACTACTTCTACTTACCAGAAGTTCTGCCTAAAGATTGCGGAAATTACCTACCTAACTAAGTACCTAATAATGGTAGTGTAAACTTCGTCGCTGGTGATGAGTGCTGAAATCACCGAACAACACTAGCTTCTTCAAGTATTGATCCATAAATCTTATCAATCATGCATCTACCTAGCCAGTTGAAGGTCCGATCTTGACAAACACCTCAACCGTGGATTCGGCGTCGCCTTTGCACGGGGCTCGAGAGTCCTCGCACCTTGGCGCGTCATCGAATCGCTTCTCCCACTCTCCAGTCTTTTCGCGCCTTTTCGTGCCTCTCGTGCCTAAGCATTAAGCCTTAAGCACAACAGCGCCATGGAATCATTGCTCCATGGAACAGGTAACGCAGCCGCAAATCCCGCGTCCGAATACTCACTCGGGTTACATCGTGGCAGCAAGTAAGCACTTCCTGACACTTGCGGCCAACAGATGGGGGGGTGCCATGCATACATATGTGTATATATGGAACTTGAAGTGTGCGTAGCCAGTCGTCTGCTGACAGATTGCCACCGGATGGCAAATATAGACGCAGCTTACGGCGTACTTTCTCACCACGGCCGCCCCCAGTACGAGCGTCTGTTGTTAACCTTCCTACCGAACTACCTAGGTATGTTAGGGATACCTAGGTAGCTAGGGCTCGCCGACACCGAGGCACTCTATGTTATCCAGACGGATGGTCCGTTCTCCTCAAAACCCTCCTGGTCAGGCCTGGCTTCCCGAGGCGACGGATGTGCCATGTCGGCGCCGTACCTTCGCTTGTAACAAGATGCGGCTCCATGCTATATCTGTCTACCTAGGTAGTCTGTGAGCTCCCCACTACTTAGTCTACGTAGTAGAGTAGCTTGGTGCGTCTAGACACCCTGACTTGCGTACATTAGCAGCGATGAGGCATCAATCAGCCTAGGCACCACTTTACGATATATTGCGCTTGATTGTCGTAAGCGGTGGATTCGGGAGTCGTACTCGTCTGGCAAAGTCACCGTTGCACCAGATATACAGCTTTATTGCCACTGTTTCAGACCTAGCCTGTCCCGTCACTACGTCCGCTGTTGCTGCACACGTTGTAACATTGCAACAGCGGTTCGAGCTTGTGCTTCGGCGTCATCTTGAACTCTGGAGCTGTGATCACCCAACATAGCACCTTCCGAGTTATGACAATACTCCGCGTCTGACATTGCCACTTGGAGAATGAGGCCAATGGAATAGCTCACATGCGGTTCTCTCCCTAGTGGCAAATTGGTGCGCATTGTGTGTCGGGTAATATCAGCCCCACGAAGGAAAGCTGACTGGCCGTGTTCCAAATCTAAGAACCCAAGCGTTAAACCATAGAGACGTTTCTACGTTATGACTTGTCAGTCGTAGGTCGACTTCCACGAACCGTTATCTATGGCGGTAGGGTCCGCCCGCACTGGCGCCGCGAGGACTTGCCTCTACAAGAGATGAGAAAAGGGGCTATGTCTCGAAAATCTTTCTACTTCTAAACGCCGTCAAGGACTTATACACTAACAGTTGTCATAATAAATCTGGAAGTCCTCCGCTAGACAGAGCAACTAAGATACTCTCCAATACGAAGTGTCCAGACTGAATGTATTATCGTGCTGGGCGCTCTCATGCATACATAGTGGTTCAGTCATTAATGTAGCATTTTCGTTGGTCTCTATAGCAAACGAGACACCAACCAGACGGATATTATTCCGCATATTGCTCTATCTCTTCACATTCCGGATTTATCAAGAGATCGCTGGTATGATATAGGTGAGCTTTGTGGGATGTCTATGTATGTTACCAAGTTGACGCGAACACATTACACAGATATGCAAACATGTGGTCAGCCTTGAGGTTCCATTCTTTCCCGCCTCAAGATCCAAACCGTCGGGTCTCTGGCCCCCACGCATTTGCCGGGGGAGCTATGCTGCCGATAGCTACGGTCTTCGCCCTACCTAATGCAGGATCCATGCAGTCGAAATGCCGTGATACCGAGATTGCAATGTCCAACATGCTGGGATGGCCGGGGCAACGCGCGCCATTCTAGAACCTTTCCTTGTACCAAGTCTCCATCACATGCCTCTGGAGATTTCATTTCTACGCTAGACCATACTCGTCTGTATTGGTATGAGGGTGACCAACGAACTGACCAGTTGTTATTCTCACTTTTCTGTCACCCTACGCTTTTCGCCTCCGTTCAAAGCCTTAGGCTTCCAATGAGACTTATGGAATGTCATACCTTATGACGATAGATGGGATGGATTCTTGATCGTAGAAGGAAAACGTATAGGTCAGATCGCTGTCTTATCCCATCTGCCTGTTAATTCTACAGCGAACTAAAATTCCCAGATCCCCGGGTTACGGCGGCCAGGGCCAGCCATCGCCGGTCTCCAAAGCATTAAGTTTTCATGGCATACGTATGGCTCAGCAAGGTTCACTACGTCTGCTTCTGTGAAAGACTTCTAATTAGGGTATGGCACAGACGGTTACTTGGTAGGAGATTTACTCCCTATAAATTTATAGGCCTAATCTATGTTAGTCAGGTCGTACGGAAGGGCCGGATCCTCGAACCGTATGCTACAGTGGCTAGAACTGGGCGCTGACTCAGGCCCCATTGCTCCTCGTCTCTCGGCAAAGAGCCATATATACTATGTTACCGCCAGGATTGGGAGACAACTAATCACCAAGATGAACCTTCTCCCCCCGCAGTTGAGTCACGATACGTTGCATATAGATATATGTCCCCATAATTTTATTGTATAACATACAGGCGTTTCCTTCCTTTACAATATTTTTCTCCTATTAGCATCCCTGGCCACACATTATCGTGCATACCATTACGGTTTTTAACCCAGTCTTCTCCTAGCGTTGCTAGCCTAAAATTTCAGAGTCCAAGTTTCGAATCTAAAGACATTATACAGCCGCAGTGGGGGGACAAAGGCGGGGCTGTAGAGATAATGGCTCATATTTATAGAGCGAAAGCAACACCGGCCAACATTGCTGCCGCAACAACAGATGGAAGCAGGATGTGGCCGGCGCCCTTAACCGGCTCAGGTTTCGGCTGACCGAAATGGGGCTGAGGGTTGGTGCTATTGCCGCTGCCATTGCCATGATCGGCTGGCTTGCCGCATCCGCCCTGGGGCTCACCAGTCGGCTTGCCGGGATGTCCGGCCCCCGTATGCCAGGCAGCGGAGGTCGTGGCGCTGGGCTTCTCCTTAGGGGGTTCTTCATTGCCTTGGCCCTTTCCACCCTTACCAGGCTCACCTTGACCCTCTCCACCTTTATTGGGCTCACCTTGGCCCTTTCCACCCTTACCAGGCTCACCTTGGCCCTCTCCACCCTTATTGGGCTCGCCTTCTCCCTCGCCGCCCTTGACAGCATCGATGCATACAGGGGGCGAGAGAGCGGCTTTGGCTTCGGCGAAGTGACCATCCGTGGCCTTGATTTCCTTCTCGGCGTAGCCTTGGCTCTCTTCTGGGAACTTCTCCTTGTTGGCTTCGAAGAAAGCATCGCTTACCTCGCCTAGTGATGACGCGATACGTTAGTGATAGAAAAAGGAGAGGGTTACGTCTAGTAGATCTAAAACTGGAGTGTGTATCCGTATCAATAATGATTTGATTCGAAGAGGCTTACTAAGGTGTTGGACAAAAGTGTTGACGTGAGAGCAGTATCCACCAGCCGCGAATTTGGGAGCAGCTTCGCCAATGTCCTTGAGGAACTTGGCACCGACTCCCGACAGTTTCTGGGAGAGTGGGGTGATGGCGATCACATCCCGAGCTTCGAGAGGCTCCATATTGTGCGCCGTGTCAATACCAGCGCTGAGGACGCTGATGAGATCCTCTCCAGCTTGGCGAAGAGCTGAGGGGAATCCACCTTCATATTGCAGGACGTGGTTGTCTGCATTGGACATGGAATCGAAGACGCGCTGCAGCAGACCTATAATGGCCTCAGAGCTACGAGGCACGACGTGAGCATTGGCCGTGGTGCCAATGGCGAGAAGAGCGCTAACAGCTCTGAACTTCATGATGAATGATATTGTGAGTGGGTTAGGGAAGAGTTGTGTGAAAACAATAATTGTAGAAGGTGTCTAACTGAGTGGATTTTGGTTGGTAAAAGTGTAACTGAGAACGAGGCAGAGCACCGATACTGCGACAGACTTCCGAGACTATATAATTACCCGGGGCGGCGGCCCTCCAGGAACTTCGAAACCGTTCGATTAGGCCCCAAGATTCACATCAAGTTTACTGCATCTTGTTGAGACCCGAACCGGATAATTCGATCGAATAAACGTGTTGTCATGCCGCCTTTCAGTCACCAATGACGAATACATCGATATTTTTCACCTGATGATATCTTGATCTGTGTTATGAGGTCCGAGAAAACGCTCAGGCTTTGCGTCCACAGGCAAAGGTATATTCTAGAAATTTTTACATGGCAGCGAGGTACGCTGCGGTATTCAAGTCTTGCTGGTTATGCCAAGATATACGAACAGCCGCGAAATACGAGGAAGCTAGGAAGACACCTTGGCTGTCTTCATCTAATGTGGCCAATGATGGTGCTTGCTCAAGGGTGCGGCAAACTCTATAACACTCTCATCCAACTTGTTCAGCCTTTCATTACACATTAGGTGTGGCAGTCAAGATCTCTCTATGCAAGTGCCCAGCGGTGGTTTTGGTATCTGTTCTCGTCGTTACATGATGATTGAGGCGCGATGAGGAAGCCAAAGTGTTTTTGCTTTCGAAGAGCTGCGTTTCAATGCTATCTCAAACTACGTCGACGGAAGAACGTTTGCTACGTGGGGGGAAGATCCGCTGATCTGGAAGCAGGGCATGGGTGAAATATGCAACTCTGAAGCCAAATTTTGCGCTCATATACTATGTACCTACCTCTCAACCTCACCTGAGGGCTTCAGAAAACAAGGTATTTGTGTCCCAAGCAAGGCGTCGAGGCGTCGACAACAACGAAAGCAACGAAGGTTAAGCACATTAGCTACTAGTACTGCTCTAGTCATTTTCAGATTACGTCATTATATTCGTCAGCTTATTCCTACTCTAGCAGTTCCATGTACCGCATACACTCGCAAAGCTCGAATAGCGCGCCGTTAGATGTGTAGCGTAGCCTTTCCTCAAATGAGAAGAATTTCCCCCAATTTCTCTGAGGAAATGGTCTTTTATTTGGTGCTGAGCTTGGGAATAGTGGAAATATTTCCTAATGATAAACGCCACATTAATTTTTTTCAACGACGCGTTATTCAAGTTTTGCGAGTGTATGCGGTATAGTACCCAATTGCTATGATCATGATCCAACAATCCAAGAATCTAAAGTAGCGAAACGGATCTACGTACCTCCTTTCTGCTACCGAAACGACTACCTATCTACCTACCTCTTAGTTTTGTGTAGCAATCGAATTCAAATCCCTACATACGTAGTACTGAGTAGCGGTAGTATGAACCAAATAGGACAACCAAATCCCAGTTATCCATTCAGGCGTTCGTTCCTGACGATCCTGGTCTTGGCTCATGCACGCTATCTAGGTATGCGCTAGACTCACCCCGGGATCTGTTTTCGGGGATTAGGCAGGATTTTCTGGATCTCTAAGCTCCGAAAAACAACTGGACAGACAGGATATTTTACAGAGTTTGCTGGTCAAGGTGTAGACTAAGAAAAAGTGTATGCATTGGAAGATTCTTGTTGTATTTCAAGGTCAGACGAATTCGTGAGGCTTGTTTTGCCGAGAGTACCGTACCTACCTAGGCATCTATCGGGTAGAGTTTAAGCTTACCGGTTAGTTAGGCACCTAGGTAATTAATGCAGACCTTGATGCAGTCTCGGGAGTCATGATTGGCAGGGCATTTGCATCAACCTTGACTTTTTCGTGGTTTAGTTCGGCAATCTCGGTGTAGCAATACATTGATCGGAGGCTTTCGAATAGGTACTTGAAATGTATACTCTTGTGTGCGCTCAATCGGAGCAATAAGATATAGGTATGCGCGTACGTCCCCCACAATGCAACTTGAATACCTAGGTATATGCTCAAATTGCCGTTTATATTACATTAGCTGTAGACCTTATGCGCGAGAATACCTAGGTACGTGAGAGGTTCATTCCCCTCTCTTCTTGTACGTAACGCCTTGACCTGCGTGCTCTGATCAACAACCAACAACTTGGAAATGGTATGAAGTAAATGTACCTAGTCGTATGAAGGTTTTCACGCCTAGATGCCTTGATACCTACATAGTAAAGTATCACTACCTAGGTAAGGCAGGTAGCTTCTTCACCTTGTCGTAAGCACCTGCCTACTTCAAGGCTGTAAGTATGTGGTAGGCAGTTAGGTGTTGGGCCACCTTCACAAAATACCTGCTCCTACGCGAGTAAATCTAGGTAGGCTCTACCTTGAATTTGAGAACAACCTCAATACTGAGTAGGACGTAATACGTGGCTCGCAAATTGCGTGCATGATATGGTCGAGCATTGCACATCCAATCAAGCACTGCATCGTTCATGGTCATTCCATCATTGTTCAATGCGAATCATCCATACCACCAACAGTTTCATACACAGCTTGGCGCGTAAGTAGCCAAACTCTTTGGCGGCTCCTACTGGCCGCTCCCCCTTTCTTTGTAAAATCCAACAACGAATCCCGGTCGGCCCGCCCAGTCTAAATTTACCCGATCGAGTTGGTCGGCCATCGTGGTTGGCCATCCAGAGCCATCCCTGGGCCTGGGTAGCCCCGTTCTGCCCGTTTCGACAGTGAGCGACAGCGAGTGGATCCGCCCTGCCGCTGCGCCTGCGACGGCCCAAATTTAAGGACACACGGCTAGGGTCCTCCTGCAGAACTCCTGTGACGGATTCATTCGCCCTCATCGCATCTCTGCTCAGATCTGCCCATCCGCGCACCGCTGGCCGTGCCGGGTTCTATCCAGGGCAGACCAGGGCCAGGGTACAACCAACGATCGACGTGTTGGTCTCTCATTACTTAACCGTGATCGACCCTCTCTCCCTTGGGCAGTGGAGAGATTTTCTCTCGTTCTCGCGCTTGAGCAACCCGCCATTGTGTTTTTTTCCTAGCATTCGCTCGCTGTTGATTTCTGTCACTCTTTCATCACTCTAGAATAGAATAAAATACCTAAGCAGGGTATTTGGTCGCTCGTTTGACACACTGACACCGATTGTCATAAGATCCTTCAGTACAATATACTAGTACTTGGTCGGCTGCAACATCAATCTCCACCAACATTTCCATCTTTCAGAATGATTTGCTCCGCAGCGTACACCTTCTTAATTGTAGGCCTCGCCGGCCGGATACTGGCTGAGCCTGTTCGTGAGCCTTACCAGCCGTCACTCGCTCGCATGTCGACTAGGGACATTATCGGTCTTCATCGCCGTGCTATAGAGGGATACTCGCCATCCGAGCTACTATGTGGGGAAGGCAACACATGCGCTGAGGCGTGTGGGAAGGGCTTCACAAAATGCAATTCTAAGGACCATTTGACACACTGCTTCAATCCCTCAAAGCAGCAAACATGCTGTCCTAACGGCAGTGGCGGTAAGTGGTTAGCCCATACTTCGTCGTGTCCATCTCACACTTACTAATCGACTGTCAGACTCGTGTGATAATGGATATTTTTGCACTGCTGATAAGGATAACCAGACGTGGTGTTGCCCTGACGGTCTGAGCTTAAAGGATTGTGCTCGGAAATATGATATCCCAGGACCTCTCACCTCTCAGTCACCATCAACCACAGAATCAAAGACGACAACGAAGGCCACTGCGACCAAGGAGACATTAAGTGAAGTGTCACACACCTCAACGGCGACCAAAGAAACCACTACAACGAAAGAAGCGTCGACCAAGGAAGCAGCCACTACAAGCACGAAGGATAGGAAGCCCGAGAGTACTAAGACAACTGAGAGCACTGAGAGTATTAGCACTTCGAAGTCATCACATCCCCATTCAACCGAGAAATCTAAGGAGGTGGAAAAGACCAGTGTGACTACCAGCTCTACGACATCAAGCTCTACTCTCGCCAAAGTGACCAGTTCCTCAATCACCACCCCGGCTGTCACTGCGCAGACCGTTGGTCTGGATTCTACGCCCACTTCGACGCCGCCCGTTTCAACCACTAGCATAGAGCAATCCGGCAGTGGTAACTATAGACCTACCAATAGCTTGATGCTGTTCATTGCTGGTGCCTTGGCCGCCATCCTTTAAGCGCTGCATCCTAATGACTCCTTCGATGTTTATCGAAACACATTCATATAGTTCTGTTGAACTATCTCTATTGGGCTACGCCAATAACTTTGCCAAGGCCTCCTCGGTTGTTCCTGTTATGGTCTCTAGATTTGCCCGGGACCTCATTTTATGTAATGTATATAATACCCGAGATGCTGAGTTCGTGTTGCTGTCGCTTTCAATGGGTTCCGCGCACACTGCATAGACGATCGCATGTATACCTAGACGACATTGCCTTTACTTCAGCGCCAGTGCCCTGTCCTGGATAGCGCTCTCCCCCTGACGCTATCTCAGCCTCACTTCAGGAGTTCAGCACGGGCCGGCCCTCAGCTAGCAAAGCTAGCTAACTGCTCCTTGAGTTTGATATAATTTTGGAAAAAGCAATATATAATGAATGATACCCCTGAGCAGTTTCCGTCCGATCGACTACCTAGAATAAAAGTCTCTTGTCTTTGTGAAGTAGAAATATTGCTAGTCATTCAACCACTAATCGGAGTTTATGAGAGATCGATAGCGAGTACCTATGCCAGATTAGTAGGATCCAATCAGTCTCTACTGTTCGACGAGGCCTACCTATATCTAGTGTATCATGTATTGGGTTTGCTTTCGTTTTATTTGCTCGACTGCTATGGATTCTAGGTAACATGGGGAAGAGTTGTGTCACATAGGTAGAGGTGTAATAGTAGTGTGATGAGTCGGCACACCCCCCCCGTCCTATTGGTCAGCAGGGAGAGTACAGTGTATCAGCAGTGATCCGATAACTGTATATGTACCTGTGCATGGCAAGGTGCAATGTGGGGAACGAAGCCAACTAGGCGGCGTAACAAGGTGACTGTACAGTGCAGTCACTTGGCCGGAATGCTCATGGCTCCCTGCCAGCGCCAGCTTTACATAAACTTACAAAACCTGTTGCTCATTGAAGCGCGTGCGACATCCGACTTGATTCAGGCCATCATCCATTCATTTGTATCAATGGGTGACGTGCTTTCTTTTCTTTTCTTCCATCTTCTGTTCCACAGTGATTGTTGTTTTCTTCTAGTGTAGAATTATTTCGACATTCCGATGCGACGACGCTCTTGTCTCGACTGTCAGCCGGATCACGTATCAAAGAAAGGGTGCTTGCTGTGTGGTATTCCTCGATAGCCGCTGCCGCAAATCGGCGCTGAATGAGGTGTTCTCTTCCTGCTCTTCGGGCCCTGAGCAGCGTTTCTGTTCTTGTACGGACAAATCAAATCCCCTTCCCCCCAGCAGCACGACATCCGCACCACCGAATTCATCGCGTTATTCGTCATCCGAATCGCCTGTTCACCGCGTTCCCGAGATCACAGCAGTCCGCCGCCATGAATGCAGGAAGTCCCACCTCGAGATCGAAGCGTAAGGCCCCTTCTCCCGTGGAGGATCGGCCTCTGAAGCAGCTGCGTCATGCTCCAAATGGCAAGAATTCTCCCGGAGATAACACACCCGACGTCGAGCTTACAGGCTTCATGTCAAAGAGCGAACAGGAAGACGACGTCCCTGTCTTCTATCAAGCACAGACCGCCGACACAGCAGAGTGGCAAGCCACTATCGAGAATGTAGTGCGATGCGTAGTCTCCATTCGATTCTGTCAGACTTGCTCCTTCGATACCGATGCTGCTTGCGCTAGTGAGGCCACGGGTTTCGTCGTAGACGCTGAGAGAGGGTAAGGCATCCAGTCGATTGGAAATATCTGCCTTCGCTTTGCCATGCTAATTTGTGGAAAAGTCTCATCATCACAAATCGACACGTGGTTGGCGCTGGTCCCTTCACAGGCTACGTTGTCTTCGACAACCATGAAGAAGTCGATGCGTATCCCGTCTATCGCGACCCTGTTCACGATTTTGGCATCCTCCGCTTTGATCCCAAGGCTATCAAGTACATGCCTGTGTCCGCTCTGCCACTTCGACCAGATTTCGCTAAGGGTATGCTACCACTCTATTGCTTTGCAAAGCTTAGTTGCAGCACAATGCTAATATCTCCGGATTAGTCGGTGTCGAGATTCGAGTAGTTGGAAACGATGCAGGCGAAAAGCTAAGTATTCTATCGGGTGTGATAAGTCGCCTCGATCGCAATGCTCCCGAATATGGAGAAGGCTACAGTGATTTCAACACCTGCTACTACCAAGCAAACGCCGCCGCTAGTGGAGGTAGTTCCGGAAGTCCCGTCGTCAACATTGACGGCTATGCCATTGCTCTACAAGCCGGTGGCAGATCTGACGGCGCGTCAACAGATTATTTCCTTCCTCTAGATCGTCCCTTACGAGCTCTACGTTGCATTCAAGAAGGTAAACCTGTCGATCGCGGGACTATTCAATGCCAATTCCTTCTTAAACCCTTCGACGAGTGTCGGCGTCTCGGCCTAAGCCAATCCTGGGAGGCCGCAGCTCGCGAAGCATTCCCTAAGGCCACCAACATGCTGGTAGCTGAAATTGTCTTACCCGATGGCCCTTCACATCACAAGGTTGAAGAAGGTGATGTTTTATTGAAGGTGAACGGAGAGATGGTCACACAGTTCATTCGTTTGGACGACATCCTAGATTCTAGCGTGGGTAAAACCGTTCGATTAATGCTACAACGAGGTGGTGAGGATGTCGAAGTGGATGTCCAGGTCGGCAACCTTCACGATATCACGCCAGACCGCTTCGTCACTGTAGCGGGAGGGAGCTTCCACGATCTTTCCTACCAACAAGCACGCCTATATGGCGTCGCATGCAAAGGGGGAGGTGTCTTTGTGTGTGAATCTACTGGATCTTTCCGTGTAGACTCTACCGATAGTGGATGGATGGTCCAAAGTGTGGATCACAAGAAAACTCCTGATCTGAAGACTTTTATTGAAGTCATGAAACAAATTCCCGATAGAGCCCGCGTTGTCATTACGTATAAAAACTTGCGCGACTTACACACTCTTAACACGACGATTGTAACTATTGACAGGCACTGGTCCACCAAGATGCGACTAGCAGTGCGAAATGACACCACCGGATTATGGGACTTCGAAGATATAGCCGATCCCTTGCCGCCAGTGCCACCAGTGCGCACAAAGGCGGCTTTCATCCAGCTAGAGCATACCTCACACCCGGCTGTTGCGGACTTGGTTCGGAGTTTTGTTCGGGTTACGTGTGTGTTACCTCTGAAGCTAGACGGATTTCCTCGAAACCGCAAATGGGGCATGGGTTTAGTGATTGACGCGGAAAAGGGTCTTGTGGTAATCTCGAGAGCCGTCGTGCCCTATGACTTGTGTGATATCTTAATCACTATCGCCGACTCTGTCCTGGTTCAGGGGAAAGTCGTGTTCTTACATCCCTTACAGAATTACGCCATTGTTCAATATGATGCTAGTCTTGTCGACGCGCCGATTTTGAGTGCAAAGCTCAGCACCGACTACATCACACAAGGCGCATCTACGACATTTATTGGTTACAACCGAAGTGGTCGTATCGTGCACGCGGCTACCACAGTGACGGAGGTTACTGCCGTCTCAATCCCTGCGAACTCTGGTGCGCCCAGATATCGTGCTACTAATGTTGACGCTATCACCGTCGATACTAGCCTTAGCCAGCAGTGTGGTAGCGGCGTGCTTGTTGATAGTCAAGGCACTGTTCAAGCCTTATGGCTTACGTACCTGGGTGAAAGAGTTCATGGCTCTAGAGACGAGGAATATCACCTTGGTCTCGCAACACCGACACTGATACCTGTGGTCTCGCTAATCCAACAGGGGCGGACACCGAGCTTGCGGATGCTGTCGATGGAGTTCCGTGCCATCTCCATGTCCCAGGCTCGCATTATGGGGGTATCAGAGGATTGGATACAGCGAGTCTCGGAAGTGAGCAAGCATACCCACCATTTTTTCATGGTCTCGAAACTCACATTCGAGCGCGGAAACCACCCAACTGTTCTCCTCGAGGGCGACGTTATTCTAACCCTGAATGGAAGAATGATGACGCGTGTGGCAGAGCTTGATATCATGTATACGAATGATGTCCTCGACGCAGTCATTCTTCGTGAGAGCCAAGAAATGCATCTCAAAGTACCAACAGTAACCCTAGATGACGTTGAGACTGAACACGCCATTTCATTCTGTGGTGCCATCCTACATGCACCACATCTTGCCGTGAGGCAACAAATCAGCCAACTACATAGCGAGGTTTATGTGTCGGCAAGGAGCCGCGGATCACCATCATATCAGTACGGACTTGCTCCTACGAACTTCATCACCCACGTCAACGGAAAGCCAACGCCAGACCTGAAAACATTCCTAGATACCGTGGTCAAAATCCCTGACAACACTTGTAGGTTCGCCCTTCTGTTTCATGCCCCCGCCCCCGCCCCCCAATATTTGATCTTCTATGTGAGAATGACCTGACACAATGGCAGACTTCCGAGTTCGTGCAATGACATTTGATAATGTCCCGTGGGTTGTCACGATGAAGAAGAATGAGCACTACTTCCCCACGATGGAGTGGGTCAAGGATGGGTCAGAGCCATGCGGCTGGAAGCGCGTGACATACCAGAGCAGTGGCAAGGCTATAGAAGGCGATCCCACCGATGGCATGGTGCCCACGACAGGGGAGGACCTCGGGGATAACGACGGCGAAATCGTAGATGATCCATACACCGCCAGCGCCGCTTAAGCACGATATCGCATTCTTTATTGTATAACCCTGGGGGGTTATATATTGTAATATCTTTTGTAGCATAAGATAGATTGCGTATTGGGTTCAAGAAGAGTGAGGAAGGGTTGAAACTCGCTGCAAGGAAAACCTGGTCGGCGCATATTCAAGTTGTACTGTAGTACTTGTCACGTCTAGATAGCATACGCTGTACCTTACTCTTAATAGATATCTGCTTCAAGGCTTATATTATAAACAGAAGGCATATCTCATACCTATATATACATATATGTAATGATATTTATAGTTGCCAGATATAACAAGTTTGGTATTATTTTTAATAAAAGCAGTATTTGGGTTTGCAACATTGTTAGCTGTGTTAACCCTGTGGAATCGATACCTGGATAGATGGAAATGAAATATTATTGTAGCTTAAGGTAGGCAGGTACGCGGGAGTCCAGTCGTTGCCTAGGAGGTTGTGTTGATGCATGCACTTACTTGGCAACCGCGGGCAAGAGTGCTACTGCCTTCTCGTAACTACTTGCCTATCTCTTCGACATCCCTCACCTTTTTTCCTACCACTCCCATTTATCTACCTACTTCAACCTTGTAGGTGCCAAGCTGTCCTTTACCTCTACACCGTCAGCCATTCATCATCCTCAGCTTTTCCACAATTCGTTCTGCCCGGAACACATTTACAGCTTCTTACGGTATCCTTTTCAAAGATATTATATCAACTTAGCTATAAGTTAATATCTACGGCAACGTATAAAGAATCTAGGTGAGTTGGTGATGCTGTTTGAGCTGATGTTCTTCATATGTCGTCTCTCTCATCCCTAGATGGAATCCCGAGAACATCATGTTCATACCTTGCACTACTTACCTAGGATTCATTCCCTGCAATGACCAGTCTTACCATCCGGTGTCTACAACTTGGTCGTGCTTGCCTATTTACCTTAACATTTCTTTCCCCTAACACTCATGACATTCCACCTCTGCTCTACTTACCCCGCTCTCACTTCAGTCTATTCCTACCTCTCATATCCAACTCAGCGAATTCACTACCATTGATGACTTCGCCTGCTTGTCGTCGGCTTCACGTTTACTCCCCTCTGCCCGTTCATATTTCGTCATCGGACTTCTGCATTTGTTCTTGCGGTAATCTTTCGCGATGATATATCGTTTCGTCTCGACAGCTAATATTCAGTACATAGATTCTACTTGGTAATACTACGACACCATGGCTGACCGAGGCATGAAGAAGTGGACGGAGGACGAATTGGTAAGATACCTTCCGGTTAACCATCCAAGCGCTACCTTCTCTTCTAAACTGTACCTCACTCGTCACTCCTCTCTACCACTATCAAGTACTGAAGAATTCCTATCGTTACCCATCCAACTTTCTTATGCTCCTCATACCCTTCACTACCTTACCTTCCATCAGTATCCTTTCGTCTCTACCTACCCTATACAATATATGACTTATGGTATCCCACATTTGACTATGTGGGTAATAACTAACAGATACAGAAACAATTCAAGCAAGAAGTAATCGGCCAGCTCATTTCCACCGGCGGTAAAGTGGACTTGAAGCTTTTCAACTTTCCGGACCGTACCCCGAAAGCTCTGTCGCATCTGTGGACCAAGATGAAGGCGGAATGCGCCGAATATGTCGCGTCCTTAGCTGATAAAAAGGCAAACCCTGATGCGATTAAGACCCCTACTGCCGAGAAAGGCGTGACAAGTATGTATTCTTTCTGTTCCTCTTATGCGTCTTGATGTCTTTTAATCTACCCTTAACTTTTTCATTTTATACTTGATGTCGTTGATGGTATTGCTACGCGACTCTCGTGATGAAAACGCACAGAGAGTCTCATCAGTATGATTTACTAATCATGATATTTTCATATAGCACCAGGAAGCTGTAAGCGTACTGCGCAGGCCGCCGGTCTCGCGGATGGTGACGGATCACCTAGTAAGTCCTTGCTGCTCGCTTACTCCTGTGTCCCCGTCTTCTTGTTCTCCTGCAAATCCTAATACCAGATACAGGAACTCCGACTCCCACCAAGCGCAGCCGTAAATCAAGTCAGCCCCGCAATAAATATGCTGCCCAGGCTCAGATCTCTAGCGTCGACAAAGATGAGACGGAGGAAGCGAATACCAAGGGTGGAAAGCAGGAGGAGCCGATCTCCGAATTTGGAGAGCTCCCTATCTCTGATGACAGTATAATCCAATGACTGACGAGAATATGTCGATCTGGTCGAACTGTATCATATGCCCCTCCTCTCTTTGCGCGGCAGAGCATGAACACGGCCGGTAAGAGACAAGGTGCTGTGGTTAGCCCGACTACAGAGATTTACGAAGGTACTGTCCCAGTTTTTCCCTCTGAGGCTCATAATCTTTATACTGTTGATGCTCATATATACCACGCGTGCCCAGCTCGCCCCGCCCTATCTTATACTTGTCTCTTTCTCTCTACTTCATACCTGCCCCCCCCCACCCTTCCAAAGAGCAACATTTATCCCATCTGATTATAATGTAAACCATGCCAAGACACAACGACTGTTTGTCATCACTTCTCCTGCAATCAAAAACCAGTTATCATTATTCATTTCGCTATACGAAAATACTAATTTGAGTCCTAATATTATCAGTGTTTGCCTATCCAGTTCTATCGCAGTCGCATTTCTACCAAGAATATTGAGACGTTAATCAAATATGCAAGTCATCGCCATCCTCAAGTCGTCAGTCAGTCAGTCATCCACCACTGACATCGATTTCGCATTTATCGCAAAGCCACACTCAATATTCAGGCGATTTGCCCTTTTTTGTTTTCCGACTTTTCTCAATAGTACAACATGATTGATGCGTCCAGGGATATAGAACCCAACAGGATTAAAACGTTGATCGATTGGTTCGAGTTAACTTGATGAAAGATGAATGAGCAGATTGAATTAAGGGTGAGATTGATTCAGACTGAGATTCACTTGCAGCAAGACAGACTAGGGTAGTTCATACACACCCAGATACTATGATTCGTTCTTAGTGAAATACTACTGCGATTGTTTTCCCTCAAGATATGCATCTAAATACGTTTCCATGCGCGGTGATATGCTTCCTTGTACTGAATAATTGTATATTGACTTACTTGGGGTCGTGGCCCCCTGCCGTACTAGTTGCTATCTATCGGAACCTTTCGTAGTAGAATTCTCGTTAGGCGACAAGTAAATACACATATGTAGACCCTATATGTTGGGTTATCATTCTTATAGCCACACGTCAACCTCGCGTTGCCTTCTCGTTTTTACCTCACTCGTCTCGTCGGGGTTCTCTAAAATACTTCTCTACCTACTTCTTACAGCACCTGGGAATATGGAGGGAGGGAATGGATAATGAGAAAGGAAACCAATACATGGGATCGAATTCTTTTTTTTCTTCATGCGTTTTGTTGGAATTAGTGTTGTTGTTATTTTGACCTTTTGAGGATGTGATTACACGTCTCGATGTTGAGTACGTTCCCTTCTTCTTCATATGATTCAATACTTGTTTGTTTATGGCTGAGTCCACCTGATGCAAATAGATCCTCCCTGATTCCATTCCTGAATTAACCTTCTTGTTTCGTATCGCTAGCTAGCTAGCTACCTAGCTACACAGGCCCGCGTCTCCGTGGATCTGATTGGCTATATCGCTTTATTCTCATATCATAAGCTGCATTTTGGGCCTGGGCAGGTCGTCAATCAGATTTTCATAATTCGCTCTGTCTCGAGAGCTTCGTCTTTGGTAATGTGTAGGGCTCTGGCGCGGATGGGTATAATGTGGACAAAAATTATAGCTTTAACTTTTCTAGATTTTGCATATCTGCTCTCATCCATTCTGGCTAATCGTGGGTGAGAAATTCTCGTCTACGTGCTGAGTGAATTACAGTGTGCGCGGAATCATCCTACATACCTTGTCGCTTTGCTGTCCTTCGTCACGTCTAAACGAGTATGCAGCGTTCTCGCTTGTGTCGAGAGTGAATAAGCCTCTAGCGACTCATCTTATCTATGATCATGAATAGAAACGTAGGCATTGTTCACGTATGACTGTCTGTACAGAGTAATTAATCTACAAAACGGCCGATGGCGCAGCGGGCTCGAATACTGTAGTATGTGATCCGCATTGGGTTTGCTCGGAGCTACGCTAAAGCTACCTAGATACCGTTCTTAATTCAGCAACATAGGCATACACAAGCTCCAAGTGCCCCATTAACATCTTTCAAATACTCTGTACAAACCTTTTAGATTAGCCAGCTCTAACACGCCGCCTTTCATGAATGACTTGGTCGCCACAAGCCTCGCCTTGAAAGCCGGGAAGAAGACATGTTCGACGGCTCGGCGGACATGTGCTCTTCTCGCTTTGATTTCATCAGGCACATTCTCTTCTACCTGGTCGTTCCCAGGGAGTGGCGGTAGCTGCTCGGGTACGTAGTATGTAGCGAGCTCTCTTAGAAAGGATTCAAAGCATGCTTTTTCCTCCGTCCAGTTAACGTAGGGACCTAGCCGGAGCAGGAACTGCGGAAGCTTGGCCATAGACGGCGCATACCCCTTTACAAGCAGCGGGATGCTGAGAAGCTCGCCCGCGGGTGTAACCTCAAGACTAAAGTATTCGAGCAGCATCTGGCGTCTCTCAATTAGCTGCGCGGTTACTTTCTCCACAACCTCTGCAACGTCGAAGTCGTCATCATCAACCGATGTGCCATCTTTCTCGGCTGTCTTCTCTTGCTCAGCCGCAATCTGTAAGACCTCACGTAGGTCCAGCGCCGGCTGAAATTTTATAACGCCAAAGTTCCCGAAATCTGTCAGGCCGATTTGGTAGAAGTATTCGAAGCACGCTCGACCATAGTCTACTAGAAAGAGTTTAACGCCGCCTTGAATGGCAGCAAGCCGTCGTTTTTCATCAACGATACCGACGAACGTATGGTTAGCAACAATCTCTGTTAGCTCGTGATGCATGTCATCTCGCACGTCCGTGCGAAGGTCCCGTATGCTGGTCAGGCGACAGTACGTCGACTCTCGATCCGTAACCTCATATTGTGGCTCGAGTCCGACGTTCGACGTGTTACTGTCAGCTGTGGTGCTAGACCCCGAAGTTTTGTCAGCACTAGGGAACATGCTAGTAATCTTGCGAAGTGAAGAATCTGTTCGCACAAGGTTATTTTCATAGGGGCGTGCAGGCGTCTTCCGAGAAGTGGTCGGAGTCTTGGACGAGGAATTGTCAATATCCTGAGAAGTACCGCCTGGAAGGAGAGTACCCGGAAGTAGAGTTTGAGTCATGAAGGTCCGGCTTGTGTCCACTGCTGCTAGCTTCTCTCGAATCGTTTCGCAGACGCATTGTATGATTTCGTCCTCGTTGAGGAAGTTAACTTCTCGTTTAGTAGGATGGACGTTGACATCAACTCTTTGAGGATCGATCTCAAGGCTGAGATAGACGAACGGGTGCCCGCTCTTCGGGAGGAAAGCGGAGTATGTCTGCTCTACGGCCTTCTTGATATTCGAGGACTCCACACTGCGATTATTGATGAATAACAACAGGGTCGTCTTCTTGATGTGATAGTTTGCGTTTGTAGCCCAACCAGATGCCTTGAATCCCCACCGATCATCCGCTGCGGAAAATTCAATGAGCTCGTTAGCTACATTACCACCGTGGATTTGACGGATCCGATCTAGAGTCGAAGCTTGTGATTGCACGGAAATAGAAGTGCCGGCATCACCATGTTTCTTACACGAGAAGGCAACCCCAGCGCAGTGGATGGAATATCGCCCAACCATGTCAATTATCTTGTTGTATTCATCAGATGGGGATCGGAAAGCCCTGCGTCGAGTTGGCACATTGTAGAACAAATCCTCGACAGATATTTGTGTGCCTCCTCGTCCTGCAGTTGGTTTGGGGTCAGGCGATTGCCCGGGTTTGGCTGGCGACAGCTTGCCGCTGTCATAGTGAGCGCGCCAAGCACAACTTGAATCCTTGGTCTTCGTTGTGACTGTCAAGTGGGCAATGTGGCTAATGCTTGCTAAGGCCTCGCCTCGAAACCCATAGGTGCAAATACTGCTCAAATCTTCGAACTTCTTGAGTTTAGAGGTGGTAAATCTCTCACAAAGAATTGGGAGGTCTTCTTTCTAGGAGCAAACATCAGCAGGAATGGATGAGGATGGGGTCAGATCAGCGACGTACATCGATGCCATGGCCATTATCTGTGATCTGCAGCAGCTTTAAGCCGCCATCTTTGACAAGAACTTCCAGTGACGTAGCGCCGGCATCAACAGCGTTTTCAATCAACTCCTTGAGAGCGTGAACAGGTGCTACAATAATCTCTCCAGCGGCAATCTTGTTAACAACATCTGGATCCAAAGCCTAAACGAAGGGTGGCCGTTAGACATCGATATCTGATCACACTGGTGCGGAAAGACTTGCTTGAATGCGACGCGGGATGTTGTCTTCTGTTGACGATGGAGGATCTTTCCGCTTAGTGCCCCTTGGCTCATCGACTTCCATACGATCGGCCATGATGAGCTTTGGAACACGATAGCTGCAAGAGATGCCAACGACACTCACGCCGGGGTTACGGACCTCACTCTGTTATCTGGTCACTCCCACGCGTCGGGAGATATTGCTAGAAGCCGGGCTTTCGAGGTGCCAGGCTGTGGTGTCAAGTCGAATTACCTAGTCATTAGTTTGACACTGTCCAGTGTGACGGCTTCCCTGAAGATGGAAGCACGACGTGTCTGGAAATCATGAGTCGTGGATAATCAAGCAAATCATCCGTCAGAGTCGATGAAGGAGATTTTTGATTCGAAATGCTTTGTGTTGTAATAACTTGAAGGGAAGTGCCATACAGTAGCTAAGTACGAAGTAGGTAGACGGAGACTTCCAGTACCAACGCTGATCAACACTAAATCTTGATTGGCCTAGGCGCTTTGGCGCACATGTTCCAGTGGCAGTATCAGTGCAGGTCGCTAGAAGGTCGCTGAAAGGTCGCTAGACATATAGGCGTGCAAAAAACACACCAAAACTATCTCCCATTATCATCATAAGACATGGAATGCACACAGCACAGTATCTTCCCTTGCATGTATAAGGTAGGTATCATAGGTAATGCCAGGTTCTTCATCGACATCGTTTTCAAAACGTTCGAAGATTGAATCGCGATGCCCTAGGCGGTGAAAAGGTACCGGTGCCCAGTTCATCTTCGCAGGGGGGTATTCGATAAAGATTCTATAAATACCTAACCTAGGTAAATCAGCGAGTGTCCGACTTGCAGCAAGTAGGCATACTTACTTACATAGTAAGAACTTTGGTAAGGCATTAAGTTAGGAATGACCTCTACTTACCTCTCTATCGACTCGCCACCTCTGATATTCCAGCTGGTGGCCGCACGTCAGAGGCCTCAGGTCTGGAACTGAGGTCTCCCTCTCGCTTTAAAGTAAAAATAAAACTGGTGAGTAATCAAAAGGACGCCTGGCACTTCTAAACACTAGGTATATTCAACAATAGAACCCATCTCGAAGGATTCAGCGCTAGCTTCCTTCGTGGCCAGCCACGCTTGATCGCCAAACGCAGCCCAGGGGATGTGGCGGCTGAGTCCCTGGTCTGGTCTGGGTAGCGTGTGTGTTTTTGGGGGCCGTTTTCGTTGGCCCATCTTCAAAAGACCTCGATAATTCGAGGAATGTTTCATTCACGTACCAAGTGACCATAGTGAACCCTGGAAATCAACCAGGCATAACACATCGATTAGAAACAATAGATACTAATATTAGCTCGGTCTTCTCCCTATGCCTGCTCATATCGCCGGTGCTATGGGCGCATTCCCTCTGGCCAGAGTCTGCAATTCTCGTCACGTTTTCTCATGCTTGAGAGTGTGCCGTAGAAGGTATTTACGCTTGGCCCAAGAACAGGCCTATGTTGAAACGGGCGGGCGGCCGGGAAGGCTCGTGACAAGTGCAGGAAACAGCCTTGTTAATGTGGCTCGCTTTCAGGATGGCAACCCTTGTTCATCGCTTCTCGATCTTGCCCTCGCTTCCATCACACAGTCCAACCTCCTCCTCGTGCCGTCTTGACTACAGTACACATACTCTCTTCCCTTTGCGGTTATTATACAGTCGGTCGCACAGCCACTTCCCCTTAGTAACCGGCCGAGCCCTCACGTGCTGGGCATTTAGAATGTTACGCCCCAAGGCAGAAAAAGTATCTGCGAACCATACCATACCATCTTATCGAATTCTTTTGTGGGAGGCGCAGTTAGCCGGACGATAGCTCGATGCGAGGGGCATGTATGCCGAGTTTTACCCATGCCGCCTCCATGTGATATCCTCATAACAAGACCATGTCGTTGTTGGTAGACAATGTGATCGGGTTGCCTCATTTCTGGTGGAATATATACCAGTTTGGACCTTCACTGCACCATGTCACGCTCATACTATCATAACTGGGCAAGCGACCCCTCAACATCACCTCAACTTGTAAAATGAGTCAACGACAGAACAGCCAAGTTCGAAACCCTCCGTCGTCGTCACAGGACAGCCGAGAGGATGAAGAAACCTATTCAACCAAGGCCACAAGAGGTTCATCGTACGCGTTTCGACCTCTCTTCCCGAGCCACGCACGCTAACGATAACATGTGTGACAGAGATGCAGGTTCAGACGATTTAGAATCGTCGCGCACTCGTTCGCGGTCCTCCGACCGTAGACCTCGACGATCAGTGACGAGGAGGCTCTTGCAACACATACAGACCTCTGAGGTGAGCGATCCCGACACGGCAGGTATGGCTCACGGAATATCGTCACTCGGCAACGAGCCCCTCATGGGTTTATCGCCGCTTTCCCCTCTGCCTCCCGCGATGTTACCAACCAAAAAGCGGTCCCTAGACGAAGTATTAGGCGATCAAAGCCCTCCGGAGAAAGACAAGATGTCTGCGGAAATTGACGAGCTTGCGGGAGGACCGACATCCGACTTATCTGGTAGCTCTTCTGGGCCCCGGAACGCCGTGGCCACTGGGTCCCATCAACGGAAGAAAAGCAAGTCCAATGGAGAATCATCAAGTGCTCGAGCCCTTCCCGTTATGACGAGGGGGTCGGCAACAGACTCCGAGCAACATGGAAACAGACGAGAACAAAGACGCTCAGAACGTATCCGCAACGCGTCTCATCAAGATAAGCCATCGCACTCACGCTGATGTTATGAAAGAGTCGGCTGGTCGGTCGCAAATGGTTCGGTTCATTTTGAGGAGTTTAGGATCCGGTCGTCTTTCATTCGTCGCCCTGCAATTATTTCATTCGTTTAGCTAGGTCGCACTATACCCAATAGAATAGAGAGCAGTTTTCTTTGCGTTTCTTCACTTTTGCTTTTTTTCTTCTTCTTTCCCTGGCAATGTGATAAAGGTCTTTTCAAATACCTTCTGACTGGCTCAATAGCCGCGTCTCAGACTGTTGGTCAACATTGCAGTCTGTCTGTTGGCGTTGTTGCATCAACAACCAACCCGACCTGTGTCAGCCTTCTCTATTTGTTCCCCCGCCAAGATATGTACGTAGCTGGTGAGGTATCGTCTACGGTGGGTTCCCATATTATTCTGGTGCCAATAATTAGTCCCCGGCATTAGGTCCCTATATCCAACCGCCCTTGGTCAACTCGTATCTGTCGATCGGCCATGTCAGTCCGTGGCGGACAAAGTACAATACAGAAAACAAGGCAGTCGGTCGCCTGCACCGCTCACTCACTGCAGGGTATTTACAGGGCGGGGAGCGGGGCGAACGCCAAGGACAGCAGGTAAAGCTCCATGGCCGTTGATTTTCCTTGCTCGTGTACTCCGTAGGATGATTTGTATCTAATTATTTAGAAGCTAGAACTAGAGGTTATACTGTTGAGTATGTAGTTTATGATGTTGGATAACGACATTGGCTTTTGATAGGCAGGCCAAAGAGGAAACAAGCGCTACGAACGAAGTGTAGAGATAGTTTCAATATCAGACTCGCGCCAACCTACTCTCTCTCATAAGTAGACCCTAGTCCGTCCCCTTACATGGACATGTAGGGATGCTTAGCTCCCGCCTCTTCGCTGGGGTTAGGAGGATTAAGACGCCTAGTGTGGTGGCGCGCCGAAGCGGCAAATCCTGCCCTCCAAAATGAGCGCAACTAATGAGCTGAATAATGCATGCCATGCGAGTATTTCCATGTAGGTAGGTATCTGTATATACAGTAAGTGAGTAAGTAGGTGGAGATGGCATAATCGCTCGACCAGGGTGCCGGCGTCAAGCAGTGCATTCATGGCAGCTTCTACCCCTTGATCGATGTTACTCTGTCTTCCTATCTTCTCGTCTCTTGTTGATGCCGTGCAATGAAGAGTACTGTCCTCAACAGGGCTGTATCTACCCACTGTCGCATTCGGCAAATCAGACGCGGATCAATGGGTTCAGCAACATGACCACATAGCCGGCTGCAATACGACGGCGGTTCGGACAATTTTATAGATTGCTACCCACCTACTTGGTACCACGCAGACATGAGGAGAAAGAGGTAGACAGGTAATGAGAGGATAGAGGCGGATAGGAGGGACAGCTCTGATCGGCTCCCCGTCTCAGAACACCGCCTGTGTTTTCGCAAATCACCAACGAAGCATTTATCTTCTTCGGACCTCCTGTTTCGTTGCTGCGCCCGCTATCGCGTTCGGCCGGGGGTAACACGAATGAAGGCATGGAAGAGACCAAGCTTCACGTGTATTCCAAATGACTGGTTACATGGCATTGGCCATTTGATTGCTGATCTTCTCCTCGGATGTTGCGGTGTGTAGTGGCACCCACATTCTACTGCAATGCAGCTATCCTCGCCTGGTCGCCGCCCAACCGCAACACACGGAGATTTCTGTCTCCCCTGCATGCATTAGATATGACCTACAGATGCGAGCCTAATGCATACAAGATATAACTGCACATGTTACTGGGAATCAGGCTTCGGAGCCAAGACTTGTAGCAGGCCTGCTTCTTGCTTGCCCCTCATCGGTCTGCCCTGCCCGTCTCGATTACCTATTGCCTTGGTCTTGGTCGCGGTGCGGAGCGAGATGGCGAGAAGGATTATCCCAGGTCAGTGGACCCTGGCGCTTATACGCAGCCTAAGGAAACTTACATACATGACATGACGTCTTAGGCAAGTTGGAGAAATACTACATAGTACGTTGAGGTCGGGTTTAAAGATCCACGTAGGAAGCTATCTTTGTATAGTAGAGGGTTAGGTACCCCCCTTGGACCTAACTTACCTGCATAGTAAAAGCTAGCTTGATAGCTGTTGACGGTGAGCGACAAATATAAATAGAGGCGACTTGGGTAGAAAAGAAAAAGAAATAAGGGATGGGTAGAAGAAGGGGTAGAACAGGATTTGGAGGCAAGAAGTCGCTGACCGCACGAAACGGAATGGATGGAATGCACTTTTACAGCGCCAGATGTCATTCATCTGCCTCTTTCCTTGCCTCGCCCACCCCTTTCTCCGTCATTATACGCCTTGCCTATCATCTGATGGATTCCTTCCCACGCTTTTAGTTCTCTAGCCGTCCACCATCCAGGTTACCTAGTCAAATAAAAACCCCTTCCACTCAGATCCAGCTATCTGGACGTTAATACATTCATTTTATCAACGTATTAAATGCCATATACCTTACACATGCATAATGGATTCGCAGGACCACATTCCGATGCTGATGGTGCCTAAATCACTCTTGTTTCTAATATATTATAACTTATGATTTAATCGTCTGCTCCTACCTATTGTACCAGACCCAAATGCCTTGCTCAAGTGAATGAGAACACAGAGGTATATCAAACTGTACAGTGCCTCGGACCCTCCAATACTAAGAACTCTACTGTTACCAATATTCCAGCTCCGGAGAGTCAGTTATCTTAAGTCCCCTTGTCCAGGACACACACCGTTAATCGTGGCTGAGGAGACCTCGTTCTAGGTATCCTGTTAAGCTAACCTTCTAAATGTTCTTGACTTACTCGAAGCAGCAGCCGAAGATATTTCTAGGTGGTAAGCTCACCATCGATGTAGGAAATGGTAAACTAATCCTCATCGCAATATAGTACCCGTCAGGACCCGACACCCTCGAAATTCCTATGACATGAACATTACCAGCTGTCCTTTAGCAGCGTCACTGACCGACGGGTGTAGTACAACGAACACCGAGCCCGGCACGCCACCCTGGTCCGGTAATAGGCATTCCTCGTCGATGGCAGAGATCCGCGAATGGTCCCCTCAACACCTCCTATATAACTGCTGGTGCCCCGACCAACATCACTATCTATCATAAGACATATAGCCAAGAAAGCAGCTGTAGAGAAAGGCATTAGCTCACAGGGGTATTGATAGACAGCGAACCAGTAGTCAGTCGCATCGCTTTCCTTCCTACCAACAGATGCCACGAGTATCCATATGTTTACACGATACTAGTTATGGTGAAATGGTGCGCCATAAACCGCTCTTCGAATGATTAAGGTTATTTCGTCGACTCGGGCCAACTGGTGATCCAACGAGCGAGCGAGCGCCCCCCATGAGAGCGAATCTCGGTACCTTGCATCAGTCAAGTTCGTTCATCAACGCCACTAGTCATTTCACCCATTACGCTATTGGCGCTAATGAATGGTAATAACAATGGCTAAAGGATACGAATGTGCCTATAGGATGTCAGGTACACTCACTCCAGTCACGCGGCGTATTGTATATCTCTTATGCGAACTTATCCGGTTATGCTATACCCCCTTCTCTTTCTTCCTCTGCCCTGGCGCGTCTTATGGCGTTGTGCATGGGGAAACGGTGATAGGTTGGTTCATGGAACAACGTGGAACGAGCGTGTGTGAGTTCCCGCCGGCAACCAACTTTCCCAAAGTCTTAATGGGTGTGAATTATAACTCCACCAATCCTCTCAGAAGAGATTACCTATCTTTCTTGAAATATTAGGAGCAAGAAAGTATGACTTTATTTAGTTCTATGAGTCTACCCTGTATTCCCCACTTCCTATTGTGTCTCTCGACTTCGACCCAGTTTCGTTCTGTTTCACCCGCCCCGCCGTCTTCCCCTCCCAGCCTGGTGAGGTAACCCATCAACAACTTGACCACTCATTCAATTCAAATCTACTGTTTCGCTGGAGGTTAAAGCAGCTCTCTTCCTCATGCTCAGAATTACTCATCAACATCAATTATGACTACACAGCTTGTCCTCTTGCGCATTTGATTTGTTTCCCATAACACCATGCTTCTTTCTCCCGCAGACTATCATACAGCTCGCTTAACGCTCATCCATCACATGAACCTCCCTGCACCTGGCGCCGAGTCGTATACCTATCGGCCTTGTCCATCTCCTAGTAGTGGCAACTAGGAAAAGGGTTTGTACATATATGCTGCCTCCATTGGCAGAGCGGTAAAGAAAGGGAACCGTCCGTTCCGGCCCCATGTCGATGCACCCTCGAAATGCCACGCCTAAGCGGCCAGCGCCACCAGAGTTGGAGCCAGTAATGATACATTAAGAAAACAAAAAACAGACTGCCTCCCACGCCTCTCTCCCAATCGATCGAACAAGGACTCCGTAACCTCGTCTTCCTATGAAAGATACCGTATGCTCTGGCTTCCGCTTAGTGTTGCCATTGCTACTGACGTTTCAAGGTCGGCTGACCTCAGAAAGTGTCACCAACACTGGCCCAGCATGAAAATTTTTTCTCAATACTCGTGATGGACAGCTGCTTTAAACAAACCGAAACAGCTCGGTAATACACGCTTAACGCCCACAAGATGATGCCACATAAAGAAAAAAAAAATCGCGAGATTCGAAAAGGAACCAGCCTAGAGCGATGCAATGTTGAGCACAGGGTATGCAGTGTGTGTTGTACAAGTGGTATCTCCAGCGCTGATGGACAATATACTGTATTGGGGTATATTGGGCAAAAAGATCAAGTAAAAGAATTGGACGCTGGCACGAGAACGCTTGCAAAGAAAACGCTGAGGGACCAACTCCCAGATAGTCTTATCTGAGGCGAGTTAAAGAAAGCACATGTGTCGCCATGTCTGTCGACAGCGGAAAATAGATCTCATGGTTTGCGGCGCGGCGATGTCCCAGGCTTCTCGATCAAGCCGCCAATATCCACACGGCTGGTGCGGTCATCTCGCGGCCAAGTAGCCTCCGCCGGTTGGCCAGGTTGCTGCTGCTGGCTCCGGATCGGGGGTAGCTGATATTCAGGTTGCTGGGTCGGCCGAGTGAGCGGAAGTTCGCTCCTGGGAATCTGGTGTGACAACCCTCCTGGATGCTCACTCCTTGCCGACGCCGATGCCGAATATGACGGCACATTGGGACTCACACCGGGGCTGAGAGCGGAGATCAGCTGGGCCGGCGTTTCAGGCTGCCTTGGTGTAAAACTACTCTCTCGGGGTGGATCGGTCAACCGTGTCCGACCAGGATCAAAGGAAGCCGAAACGGGCGTTAGCTGAGAGAAGGGTTGGGGCGGGTACGAGTACGTCATATCTCGTGATCGAGGCGACGGAGCTGGAGGGGGAAAAGACCGGCTGGGCGAGATTAACAAAAGTACTACGAAATATATCGAATCATCTTTAGCCAATCCAACACGAACAGGATGCGGTCGGGGTTGACCATCGGCCGCGACAAAAGTGAAGAATTCTTGACGGTCCAGCTGGTACCTGGACACTGACTCGGGACCAAAAGGCTGCGCATTGATCACCCGCTCTTCCTCATCTCTTCCGTAGATGGGCGGTAAGTAATTTGGCTCCTTGGCAAGCTGTTCATTCTGGAGAGATTTGCATAACGCAACTACACGATCACGTTCGGGAGGCGTGATCATATCCGCCAACTTGCGGCCCGTGATTGGTTGGGATCGATATCCTAACGCTGACTGGGCATTTGATGTGGTTGCGTCAATAAAGGTGCTAGAAGCTCTTACCACTTCCAGATCCCCTATCGTCAAGAAGGCGATTGGCTCTGGGGCTTGCTTTGCGATTGACAGTGGAGGCGGGAAGACGCTCGTCTCCATGCCACGTTCGAGGAACCTAGGCGCAACAGTCTCGTTAGGCTGTGGCTTTACGACTCGATAAGATTGACTTCTTCGCAACGGGTCCTCGTACGGAACAACGGGAGCACTAGGTGGTGCGTAAAGCGAGAGTGGTCTCTGGAGATTCGGGTCAGGAGGGTGTGGAAATCGTCCGGCCTCGAAACGAGGTTCACGATCATCACGTAACCGTGGCCTTCCGCGTTTTTTATGTTGTATGTCTATACAGGCGTCTTCCTTTCCGTTGCTCAAACAACGTGAGCATGGTCTTTGGGCTGTTGAGTATTCATAGTCAGCTTTACGGCCTGATACCTGAGCATGGGTGAGCGTTGGTAGGGTATTTGAAGCACTTGCTTCTGGAATCACGTCGCCCGGACATTGTACACCGGATTTGTTACATCTCTTTCTCCCAAGCCAAAGCACTCGATTATTATAATGCCGTTCTGGAGGTCACCCCAAATCTCCCACATCCGCTGTTCAAGCAGTACGAGCATTCCGGCCGCTTCTCTGTGCGCATTCAGCCACTTAAATTTCGAGTCCAGTTCTGGCCGTATGATTTTGGAAGTGCCCACTTGAGCCATCTACTTCCAAAACTCACAAATGCTATCCCCGGGCCTCAACCTTTGCCATGGATTTTGTGTTGTTCGCGGGACCATGGGATACCACGTTGGGTCTAGATCTGATCCAAGGCCACAGGCTCTGTTCTCAAAACACCACGCTGGACTGAAGAAGTATACATACCATCGCACCTGCGAGATGTCAGTACATATACTGAAGGCTAGATCACATCACAACCTACCGGAGATGAGCTCTCTTGCATGGAACACAAGCAGACGCAACATGACCTTTGGTCTTCCTTTGAGACTTCGGAGAGGTGAATGATGGGTTCTCTGGGCCTGGGGGATTCGTGGGCATCGAATACGAAGCAGCACCAAGTGCAGGTCCACCCACCGGGGGTAATGAGTATTGCGACTGTTGTAGCATCTGTCCCGGAGGTGGTGGATATGCTATTTGCCGTCCTATTGTATCTTCCGGACGCCGATATTGATACGGGATTCGGTCTGGCGTTTCTAACGGGAAGGGGCGCGAAGCGGTTAGGGGAGGTGGTGGCGGTAGAGGTTGAGGAGGCGCCGCTCGATAATCGACCCCCGAAATAGCTGGACCCGTACGATACGCATCGTGAGACGGAGCCTGGAAGCCCCCTTGACCTCGCTCAGCGGCCTCTTGGTTTGGCTTCGGCGGGCGCGGGGGAGAACCTGACATAGGCGGAGAAGGATAGGCCCTCGTGCCGCGCAGAGCACACTCCTTCTCCTCTGCTCGGGCCCGGGTTAGGTCTAGAGCGCTGGCCACGTAGTCAGATCTGCCTCTACGCTGGCCAGTAGGAATAGACAGCTGCTCGATACCACGGCTAAGGGTTTGCATGGATGCTGTCCGAGATGACTGCGTTCTTCCCGGGGTCTTTCTCGAATCAGCCGCCACACACCTTATTTGGGATCGGAAGGAGCTTCCTCAGAAGTACGGTTCTTCTTGAGAAGCACGATGCGGCCAAGCTGGGAGGTGCGCATACTAGGATGTAACAGTCTCGACAGGGTGGTAAGTTCAGATGCGTCCCTTTCTTCCACTCTACTCCCGCTACTTGCTCGCTAGGTTAGTCAGCAGAGGGTGTTGCACAAGCTCAGGGAGATATGCGCTCCAGGGAGGCTGCCGGTTAACAGATGGATGGTTAACTATTAATCACGATACTCCAGCCCTCTCAAGGCACCTTCGTGGGGTAAATATATATAGTAGTGGGCGATAGAAGGCGAGCAACACTCTAGTGAACACGGTGAAGGGTAGACAGCGGCAATCTCAGAGTCTCCGTCGGACGAAAAGAGTCGATTGTGGCACTGGGTCAGTCGAAGTTAGAAGATCCAGTAGTACGGCGCGCGGTTGTGCAGTGGAAACCTAAGAGGACGGCGAAAGGCGGAGAGCTGCAGCATGAACACAAGGCCTCTCCTGTAGCACGGCGCAAAGGTCTCCTGGGGCTTGGAGGCCTGGGAAGCAACGTGCTACTGGTGGCTATGGCGCGCAGAGGTTGATATCGCCGAACGGTCGAGTCGACGGTTGAAGAGCTCAACAATCTTGGTTATGTCGCTAGGATCGTGGGAGGTTTTTGTGCGACTTTAATATTAATATTAGATATGAGAACAATTCGGACGACAGGGGAGGGGTGTATAGCGTAGACTAGCATGTACAGATTACAGCACTACGCTACAGTGTACCGTGCCAGTCGCTGCATAGTCGCCGGGACCTGCTTGGCAGTCCTTCTCGCTACCTGATAACCCGGGTGGCATTGACATTAAGCTGGCACGGGCACACGACAATGGGGGGGGGGAATCATCCATGACAGAACCGTGGCAAGGCATGGCGGACTCTGCTGGGGGGGGAGGGGGGTGGGTGCAAGCAGGACATCACAAAAGGGGGCCGAAGAGACTGCCGTTGAGCACGCCGTTGAAATTACCAGCAAGGCAGGCGAACATGGCACGATGGTGTTGCATCTTAGAGACATTCGCAAATTGGAGCCTTGACAGGAGGAAAATGGACTTTTGGACTAACCCTTCCAGGTCTCTTCTTCGACGCAGTGTCGTAGTCTGGTCGTAGCGTACGCTACCATCTCAGAGCAACACTAGCTGGACGCTTGGTGGACCTCGACGAGGACACCATGGTGCCAGAATGGTGGGATCCTAGTCAGTCTAGGGCTCATGGGCTTTGTGGATATGGCCAGGGTGCACCCTTGTCGAGACTGTGAAGCATGCGCTGCTAATCATTGCTCAGGGATTCAAGCTATGCAGCGCTGCGCTACTGGTCCCTGCACACTAGATTAGGCGGTGGGTAACATGAGATAGCTAGAACGGGTAGATGGTGAAAGAATGGTCAAGAAGTAATTTTAGTTCGTGGAATAAAGTGTACTTATGGTATTCTGATTCCGGCGCGGAAGATGATGCGGCAATCCTAGACTGTAAGTAGAGCGAAGACAACCTTGAACGTCTGCTAAGTCGAGCAAGCTTCGTCTACACACTCACTCACTCACTCACTACCTTGAAAGGGATATTTGATGCCTGTTATTATTGCACTCCTGAGGTCGTCTGCACTATTTCTGCTTACTTAACTAGGCATTTTGTAATCCTAGAGAAGAGAAATAGAGGGGAAATCTTTCCTCCAATCCAGGGTTAAGAATGAATCTATGAACGTCCAACATCTTGCTTTCAAAGGCCGATCAGCGGTTAATTCTCCGTCCGTTCGAGAAAGCCGTTTGTGTTGCAGTTATCTACTTATTGCCACTAATGACACAAACGAAGTGTCTCAAGATATTTCTGAAGGTGTGCAAACTCTGGGCAATGAGACACCTCTTTTTTTATTTTTTTATTTTTCAACTTTGGCTTTCCCTCTTTCGAAAGAATTAAATTAATCCCATTGGATGAATTTGTCGAGATTTATGTTATGCCTCCGAGATCGAGCAAGGGATGATGATGGTGGTGGTGAGCAGGGGTGATAGCTATACTACCTACTCTAGGTACGGTATTTAGGAGTTAAGCGAGAGAGGGGGGGAAGGAAGATATATTGTATGTAGACGTTAAGTAGACGTACTGAATAGAAGTAGAGGTATCTTGGATCTTCGCTCTGCTTTGCTTTGCTTTTGCACTTTCAACGGTCCTCCGCGGGGCGTGCAGCTTGCATGTCTGATAGTCCGGAGGATCGGTGCATAGTCACGTCTAGTATGTGTAGCGTAGTCCGGAGGATCGGTGCCCAGTCCAAGTTATAGGTACCTATCTTTTCCTGGTGCTCTTCAAAAATTCCCTCCCTGGCAGGGTAAGGGTAGACGAAAGGGAAAGAAATTATGCATGCCGGTAGTGGTTGGTGTGTGTGTGTGTGTGAGTGTATGTGATATGTATGTACGTACGTATGTATGTAGGTATGGCAGCTTGCTAGCTAGGGACATACATACATTGTACATGATAGCACAAACTTTACATTGACTGAAGAGGACGAGATGAGATAGGATAGGAGGGACCGCGAGGAGTACAGCGGTACACAAACACAGAGAGAGTGATGTGGATGGAGACAGGAGACACACAGAGACAAAGGGTCGTACTAAGATAATCAATCTGTACTAAGGTACGGCTGTGCGATGGGCGATAATTGGCCTGGTCCCGAGCAAAGTCGAAACGGTTTGTGACAGGCGAGCTTAGGGAAATCGTCCGAATCTGCAAGCTGGACCGGCTCGCATGAGGGTTTCAGAAAAGGTGGGATGAAATAGATGAATTGCCCTTCGTCGCAATACGATACAGGATCTCTTTGTGCACCTACCCTACCTACTAGGCCTACCTACCTTTGACATGGCGGGTATGCGTACGTTTGAAGGTGGGATACTTCGTGTTGTAGGTTAAAGATTTGCTCGGCACGATGCCTCCACTTCGACCGCGACCCTTGACTGGGGATGAGGAAGGGGAAGAGGCGTAGGAGAAAAAGATAGGATGAAAAGACAGCATTGCGGGGATCGTACCAAGAATAACCTTGATCGGCTTCCAGCGTCATAAAACCCCAGATATGAGACTGACTTTTGTCGATTGTGGCGTTATTATCCAAAGCGGTTATTTGACGAACAATTCCAACGAACTAATATTTACTACCTACTACTAAGAAAGGCTCCCTACTGGTGCGACTGCTACTACGTGCTTCAATCAGTCTGCGGTCGATTTGGAGAAAAGAACGAACGTGAAGGAGAATAATATGAGGGTCGACGCATCGTCGAACGCAAGACGTGACAGAAGTCATTCTGTCATGAGGCCAAACGGAGTGAGGCGCAAAGTTAGGACGGGGCTCCCTAACGGCAGCGAAACCGATAGGGCCGAGGATCGTCGGATACAGGAGGAACCGTTGGAGAATAGCGAGGTTCGAGGCTCGAGGTTTGAGGTGAGGCGAGCGCGAAAGAGAGCGCGTGTAAGTGTGAAAGACTGAATGAGTGTGGTGTTACCCTAAGTTCCCTTTTTTTTCAAGATGCGAGGGTCTCTTCTCAATCATTTCTATCTTTTTCCATCTGTTCACTTTTCTCGCGGCTTTTCATCTCTTCAGTGTGCCAGGACGAAGATACTGCAAGATGAGTGGTAGGATAGATCTAAAGCAGGAAATACTAGGACAAGTAACATACCTAACCTAAACTATAAGACGAGAAAGATATATACCAGGACACGATGTGGGAGATGTCACACCGCCAAGAAAACGGTCTAGGCTCGAGGATTGACCCCCGTTGACACGTTGACAGATCTCAGCTAAACACGCCCATACCACTACCTCTATGCTATACTATCTATAATGCTGGAAGTATACCATATACTTATGACTTATAATACTCCGACTGCCTACTTACAATGAGGAGGATAATACCCTACATTGTGAGCTTAGTAATCTCGGCCACCGGGAACATAAACTGGTTGCATTCGATACTTTCATTTCAACGGCGATGCACCGTACGCCGCGATAGGCAAAACTGGCGTAACCAGAAAACCCGAAAGCTTGTTCCCAACCGCCCGAACGGACTCCGTACGCTACCACATACTATGTAGGTACTCGAGACCGAGGAGACAGAGGCGGGGTGGGCAATATTTCGGGGTAGAACCAAGGCTGTCACGAAGCGTCACCGCTCAATTGGGGTTCTCTTTGCTATAAGGTAGGGGTTGGAATAATGCCTACATCTACCTAAGTACATACACAGCAACTCCCCATCCGCTTTCCTGGTCTGAGCGCTTAAGTATATGCGGCTATTTATTTTCGGAAAGTCTGGATAGCTGCTCTTTCATGGCAGCGAGGTGGCCTGTCACAATATACCTACCTATTGCTCTCATCGCGCTCTCTCCTCGACTCGCATACTTCTCATCTTAAGCAACTACCTGGGCATAGTTAATACAATAAGTGTTGTCCATGCGGTTTTCAATAATGCGCACTACGTCCTTTACGCTACATGGCCCAATACTAGCGAGCTGCATGCATACGTGGAGCTCTATCCCCGTATCGCTTATTCTGCCATCAGCTTCGTATGTATTATTAGTTCTTGGATTAGTTCTCAAATTAGACTTATCAACAGTTTCAGGTCTCTCACCGAGACAGTAGATAAAATGGATTCAAGAATTAGAGTATACGAATAGAAGGCTTCTTGTCCTGCTCTTCCCTCAAATTAGGATGGGGAGGCCATGCATCTTTTGGGGTAGACGGTGATCATCGATTTTGTGGCACCACATCATGTACTAATCTAGTACTATGTAGGTAAAGCAACCTTCACCTATGCTACCCTTTTAGGTATGCCGTTCAAGTCTGTACTCTTTCTAAAGCCCGAAGCTCCCGCTTTCCCAAGTCCTTTTCTCAATTCTGTTACCTGTGGTCTAGAGAAAAACTGAGTGTGCAGGTGTAGTGCTGTTGTACAGTATATAAGTAGATGATGCGTATTGCGGACCGACTCTGTTATCCGAGCGCTAAAT